TACATAATATTCAATATATCAAATTTAGATCTATAAATGTCAAAATAATCATGATTTACTAAAGAATAGTTTTAAAAAATTAAAATCACACAAAATAGCATTAATCGAAGATGACTTTCTTGATAAATTCATGATCTTTTTATCTAGAATCATTTGTTAGTTGGTAATGAGACTTCACATATGTAGTTGAAAAATATTTCATTAGTGATCAAGTGATTCCAACAACTTGATGATTGATCGATGCTCTACATAAATAGCAAGCTGAAATAGATAAAAATTGTAAAGTTTGATTTTGATGTGATTTGAACCTTTGCTAGTCACTTGGCTACATGAGAGAGGGTCAAAAAATTACTACAATACCTTTGAAATAATGAAGCCATGTCCTCATTTTCTTCTTATAATGTAGGGGTATGTTTGGTATTATTTACTTATTTTATTTTTCTTCATTCTAACTAAAAAATGTGAATGTAAAAATCATATAAAGTCACATAATTAACCAAAAAATTATATTAATCACATAAAAAATATTTTCTAGATTTAATGGAAATATTAAACTATTTATCAAGACTTATTAGTCACCAATGGCAAATTAAAACTCCCCTTGTTAATCAAAGTGCATCTTTAAGTCTAAATAGACTTACTAAAAGTGCTGATGTTTGCTATATATTTAAGTCTCATTCTTCATCTTTTCTTATAGATCAATGTGAACAAATGTTTCTCTATATATAGAGAGTTTACAAACATCATGAATTATTTCAAAATATGGGCCACTCATCACTTGTAATTTAAAACTTCAAAAATTCTTATTAATATTTTAAAATCAATAAAAATTAACCTTTTTATTTTTTTACACAATTTATTGCATCAAGCTTCTCTTCCACAGCATACCAATGATTACTCATATGTCTAGGTTAGTGATACCAATTTATGCATAAACTTAATTCTTTTAGATCCATTCATAAAACTTAATTCTTTCAAACTTGTGCATAAATGATGAAAATTATGTCCTTAATCAAATTATTTAATTCAAAGCATACCTAGAAAATTTCACCCCAAAGTATTTGTCTTTTATTAAGAAGATCTCTCTTAATACTCAAGAATTAAAGAAAAAGTCTTTATAAATAATTCTACCCCTTGTAAAGTCAATAAAATATCCTTTTGTGCATGATGTCATTATCAAAATACCTTAAGCTCACTAAAACCTTCAAAGTTGACATTGTCAAATAGTGAAATACATAGAACTTTATAACCCTATATAATAAGTTGCATTACAATATATCAAGTGTAGTGAGGTTGATATTTCAATATTTGATAAGTTGCATTAAAAAAAAATTGAAGTATAACAAGGTTGATATTTCAATAATGAGAAGTTATTTCACAAACTATATTTGTGCATCATAATTAATACATAGAATTTTGAAATTTTGTTGTAAAGCATGTGCCAAACTCTTGAGTAACAATAAATCTCTACATATTAAGCTTAATATTTTAGTACATTAAAACTACATTATATAATATAGTATATAAATCACAATAACTTAAGTATTTTGAAAAATAAAAATAAGATAAAAAGTGATCAAAGTTATGTTCTTATTATATCAATGGATAAATGATGATTAAAATGTTTAGATCCAGTCCACTTATTGTTCATTTTTTATTTTCACATATAAATCAATTAAAATTTTATCCAAAAAAAGGTGTGAGTGAAGATAATTTAACTATGAATTAAATAAACAACGTTAGGGAGAAAAATTGTATAAAAGAATTAGTGAGTCAAGAAAAGAGAGTTGATTTGACAATTGGCAAGTCAAACTCATAGGAGAAGAAAGATAAGGTTTGTCTTGTAAAAATAAAACAACAAGTAAAAATATTTCTATTTCAGCATGTCCATCTAGAATCTCTTTCAACCCTAAAACATATTAAATTATAAAATATATTTACAGGAAAATAGAGAATAGTTAGAAAATTCTTTGAATGATAAAACATTAGAGAAATTGGTAGGATTCTAGAAAAAACCAATAAATTAAACAAATATGGTTTCCTAAAAACTTATTAGAAACAAGTAAAACCATAAATACAAGTTGTATATATCTAAAGAGAGATGGTGGCTTACCTCATTCATTTAAAAACAAGGAGGTGATGTAACATTGGGAGAAACAGAAAAGAAAAAATTATAGTATAAGCAAATAGACAAAAAAGTTGACAAACTAAAACTATAAAGGTCATTCCAATAAAAGGTTTAACCCATAATCTAATTAGTTTAAGCAAATTCTGTGATAAAAGTTTCAAAGTGAATTTCAAAATCAATTTTCACGATCTCTTGAATGATCAAAATATTTTAATTCTTATTGTTTCATAAGAAAGATAATATGTATGTTGCCTATCTTCAGGCATTATTAAAGTCAAATATTTATTTATTTCACATGATTGGAAATATATGGTGAAAGTATATTATATGGAAATTTAGGACATGGGAGTATTAGAATGGTAGAAAAATTATAGAAAATTGATCTAGTATGAAGAATGCCAAATTTCAATCTAAATGAGAAATCTGATTGTGATGCATGCATTAGAGGAAAACAAGTAATAAATCACACAAATCTAAAAATATAGTCACAACTAGACAACCATTATGATTATTACAAGTAAACCTTCTCAAACCAACTAAAATTTCAAGCCTAGGTGGAAAGAGTATGGTTCTATAATTGGTAATGATTACAATTTAGATAGGTAGTCTTCCTTAAAAACAAAGATGATACTCTTGAAAAATTTATAAGCTCTAACAAGAAGTAGGGAATGAAATAGATTTAAAAATTGATAAGAATAAAAGTGATCATATCATAAAGTTTTTAAAATACGGCTATGATGATCAAGGTATTTCTCATGAATTTTTTCATATCATGACTCAGCAAAATGGATTTGTTGGAAGGATAAATAAAAAACTACTAGGACAATGCTAGTAGAAAATAATTTACCAAAATACTTTTGGGCCAAGCCAATAAATATGGCCAACATTTGAGAACATAATCTTGTGATATTATGAACATAATCATGATTAGACCAACATTTAAGAAAACCACATATCAATTTATCGAATGAAAGAAATAAAAAAGTAGTTGCTTTCAATCATTTGGGTGCAAATGCTTTATCCTCATAAATGGAAAGGAAAAAATAGGAAAATTTGACTCAAGAAGTGACTAAGGCATTTTTTGGATAATGTATAAACTCTAGAACATTTAGAATATACAATAAAAGAAATCTAGGTATACAAAAAATAGTGAATATTAAAGTCATAGAAGAAAATGAGAAAGAAGTTGTGGAGGACAAAAAGGATTTATTTGAAACTGAATTTCAAGAATTTTAAATTAATGACAATCCTAACCTTTCTGAATTAGAAGAAAATTAGGAAAAAGAGACTTCCAAGAGAATGGAAATGTGTGAAGAACTACCCAATAGATAAAATTTTATCTAATGCTTAGAATAGAGTACAAACAAGATCCAAACTGAAAAAGAAAGAAAATATAAATGTATAAAATTTTAAATTCAGCTAAATAATGTAAATAAAATATTACTAGACGAAAACTAGATTGTAGCTATCACTGAGTTAAACTAGTTTGAGAAAAGAAAGGTTGACTCTAGTACTCAAGAACATGAAATGTTTGTTATAAGAGCCAAGTGAATATTTCGGTAAGGAAAAATTGTTAGAAATAAAGTTAGGCTGGTAACACAAGATTCTATGAAAATGAAGGTAAAGATTACGACAAAGCATATGCAAAAAATCATATGCACCAATGATAAGATTAGATGCAATTAGGATTTTCAAACCTTCATGACCATCATTCAAATTCATGTTTCACTTCACTTCAGTCAGTGATCCATGGTTTCTCCAACTCAATTTTGCTTCACTTTCCTTGAGAACACTAATTCATTGCTTATAATTAAGACCTCCAAACATAGTCACCAATAGTGTCTTGTGGTGCTGCATCTTTTGATCACTGTTTGACATTCACATCTAACCATTAGTGTAATAATAACATATTTGCCATCAACTTTTATTTTATTTTATTTTATTTATTTTCATCAATAATCAAAGTACATCAAGCAATCTTTTCTCATCTCAAGTGAGTCAACTAACTTCTGACAAGAAAAGACAAAAATAAAAAAAAATAAGCTTCAATAGGTAAGAAATTTTTGTCAACTTTTAGAACACAATTTTGTCAATAAAAATGACTAGTATGACTTGAGAATGTTTCACTGTAAACCTCATCTTACTCGTAGACATCTTTCATGTGAAATGGAAAAGACACAATGTCTTGTAACATCTAGAAATTTCATGATTTTTCTATAAATTAGGAAAATATATCCCACCAATATTATCATAGGCCCTCAATATAATTTTGATATTGTAAAGTTCTTATGTCATCCTTCCAAATATTTTATCAACATTAAAACTCTAAATACTCTAAAAATGTGTAACACCCATCTTTTATCTAATATTGAATCTTTGCCCATTATGCTTCCCACGTTGAAACGTTTTTTAAGGTTATTAGCCATGCCCATTGATTGAGCCTCAAGTGCGCATCTAGATGCTTTTCTCGAGTCCATTACTTGCAACGTTATTTAAATAATATTAATATTTTATATTTTATATTTTATATTTATTAAAAAAATTCCTTCATTTCCTACATAAATTTTAGTTCTATTTATTTAATGCTATGAGATGCGGTCTGAAGCGTGTTGACGTGGAAGGTCTCAAACTGCCACGTCAACGGCTCTCTGCTCTCCGTCCAAGTGTCTCCTCTTCCTATTGGGCCAGGTCGGCGTTACTGGAGTCAAAACATGACCCCATTTCATATCTTTTTTATTCGGGCCAGGATTTATAATGTTAATGGGGCTATTTTGTTTTTATTAAACTAATGATGTCGCTTTAAAAAGCTCGCTTCTTCCCTCCATCTGGTTGGCGGCAGAGGGAAATGGAGGGAAAGTAGCGCGACCTGGAGATGGACGAGGAAGAGGAGAGGACGGAGTTCCTGAGGGATCGGTTTCGCCTATCCGCCATCGCCATCACGGAGGCAGAAGGTGCGGTCCGGTATTCTCTGCCGCTCTCTGTTTCTGTGGTTCATTTTTCTACCTCTTCCCTCTGCTCTGTTCCCTGACGCGTCCCTGAATACAGGAAGGAAGCAAGGCATGGAGATATCTGAGCCTGTAGTGGCATGCATCGCCGACCTCGCATTCAAGTTCTCAAGTGAGGCATTGAAGTTGTGGGAAATTTACTTTGATGTACAAGTGATCCATGATGTTAAATCGAACAGAAACATAAACAGAAACAATTATAGCCTTTCTAATGTTTAGGTCTCTCTTTTCAGTATGAATCAGTTTTTTAATTGCATTTCTGAGCTACTTTTTATTTTAGTGCTGTTTAATTTTGTGGCTTTATACCACTTACATAAGAGAAATCGGCGTTTGGTCGTAGAGCTCAAACTTACGTATAAACGTAAATTTTGAAATACTATTTAATAGAATGAGCATCGTTTCACATTAAGTGAGATATTATCTTTAGCACCTCCCTTCCTCAGTAACTTGACTTCCATATAACTTTGTCCCATTGAAAACACAGATTTCTAATGGTGTCTGGGACGACTCTGGTACAATGTATCATTGATGGAGTTTGTATATATGCTTTAACCACAATGTTTATTTCTCTTTTTGGCAACGTGTTACTACTTTTCCACTCACTACTCACCTGGAAGGTTAATCATCCCATGTTGTGAGAGTTCTATTGTAGAATATGGCAGAATTCTTCCTCATTTCTTAGATGTGAGTCTTCACTTTTTGGAAGTCTTATTAGATTTTTTGCTAGACAGAGCTAGGGGTTTATCAAATCCTCATACCACAAAATCTGGCCTTTTGCATCGGAGTCTGGCAGGTTCAAATTCAAGTTGATTATAGAAGCACTTAGTATGTATATAGCCTTGAGCAACATTTATTTTCTGAGAATCCTCAAGGCATTAGCAATCTGATGCTGGCTCCATAGGAATTGCCGTCTCTATTCAAAGATCGCACCCAAGGATCAAAATCTACGAACAGTGGTTCCCTCTGTTCGTTAATAACTTTTAGAAACTGTAAGACCATGAAAATGGTAGATTTAGTGCAGGAACACAAAATCACTGCAGGGAATGTGTACTTTCTTTAACCATTCTTTCTGGAACAAACTCTTGTGACGAAGGACATTATTTTTTTGGTAATTTCTAATGTTTATCACTGTTTCCTTGTTCTCTCTAGCCAGCTATCTCCACATAGTCGTTCTTATTTTTTGCATCTGAACCTGCGTGATACACATCATATGAGAAAGGGTTTTTAACCAAAGGATAGTTAGGATAGTGTATCCTGACAATTATGGAAATCCTTATGATGCATCCCTTATTTTGGTGTTCTTCGTCGTATTACCTTTTAGTTTTATTCTTCTTTGAGGGGTGCCAATGAGAAAGGGATGTTACTGGAGAGATTTAATGAATGTGTCATATGCGATAGATTTAATGAGAAAGGGATCTTATGTATATATATGCACATGCATCAATATCTCCGCCTCTAGATTTTCCTTTTGTTTCTATCTAGGGGTGGTGCTGCTGACTTGCACTCGAGTACATATTTACATGAGCCTTGTTTCACGCTTCCACTGCTGTTCCTGTCAAGAAAACATTTCTGATATTTTCATGTGAAAACGCTACTTTTCTTAGGAAATGGACACGAATTATTGAAATTTATTCTTATCTGTTTTTCGCAAAGCAGAGCAACTGGCAAAGGACTTGGAGCTCTTCGCGCACCATGCTGGTCGAAAATCGGTGACTATGGAAGATGTTATACTATCTGGTTAGTCTTCACTGGATTTTCGTTGTAATTCTCTCTCCCTGCTTTAACTCACCAACAATAACTTTCAGCTCACAGGAATGAGCACCTGGGCTGCCTGTTGAGGGCTTTATCTCGTGAACTGAAAGGAAAGGAACCCCAGAATGTAAGGAAGAAAAGGAAAACCTCAAAGACAGAAGATGCACCAACCAGCTGACTTCGAATCTGTTTCATTGTTGGGCCTGTTTATTTATAGGAGGTGGTCCACGATTCAGCTCACCCACCCCCTACTTTTCTTCAACGCATATTCTCTCATCTTTGACTTTATGTCACCTGCTTACCATTTTGGGTTGCTTGAAATGGTTTCTGCTCTTGCATGGTTTACAGACTATTTAAATCTCTGTGCAGAAATTGATCTATTATATCACTAGTGAGATGAACCCCGCTATTTTTCTTTAAATATATATTTATTTTATTTTATTTGTATGTCGCCTGCTTACTACTTTGCGTTGCCCGAAATCAATTCCTTCTCTTGAATAGTTTACTGATTATGTGAATCTCTGCGCATAATTTTTTCTTCAAATCATACAATGGCTTCTCTTCTTCTTTTTACTAGCCACCCTGTTTGCATTTTGTGACTGTGTGGAATCGATTCCCCCTCTCAACCAGATCACTGATTATGCCATAATATCACTGGGCTGATGGACCCCCACTATTTTTCACATACTGTCTTCTGGCTACTTGTATTTCATATGTCACCTGCTTATTTTGTTTGGCAGTTTGAAATCGATTCCTGATCTTGAACAGCTCACTGATCATGAAAATCTTTGTGCGCAAATCGATCCATTATATTACTAGATCAGAAGTCTATATGCATGAACCCATTCGAGGGGGGGGGGGGAGAGAGAGAGAGAGAGAGAGAGAGAATTTTTGGTGCCTGAAGTATTTTTAATGCTGATGCATATTGATTCAAAATTTATTTTGTTATTCAAGTTAGTGAAGAATAAAACATGTTGAGGACATAAATAAGATGTTAATTAATATCTAGTATTAAATAAGATTAATAACCAGGCGTGTTGAGGAGGGGCCAGGTGAGTCTGGAGCTCAGCCTATTCCATCCCAAAACCCCTCTCTCTAGGCTCAGAAACCCAGTTGTGTTTCCCTGGCCACATGACCATTAACCTAACAGCCCATCTCTCTCTCTCTCTCTCTCTCTCTCTCTCTCTCTCTCTCTCTCTTCTCTCTCTCTCTCTCCCCCTTCTGTCTCTTTTCTCTCTCCTCTCTCTCTCTCTCTCTCTCCCCCCCCCCTCTATCACACACACTCAGCTGAAGATGTTTCATCCAATCGACAAGCATTCTTAGAAGAGGAGGCATACTTGATTGGGTCCTCAAGCTTCCTAAGAACGGCAGTAGCTAGCCATCCCCGCTCTAATGTGCCTTTTTTCCCCCTTCTTGATCATTCTTTCTTCATCAACATTGTTATTAATTCGAATATGCTTTCTTTCATGATCATGGCTTTTAATGTAATTGTTATCATCGATTCTACCACTTCCCAAGAGTTTTCAAACTGCCAAAAATGTGTTTTCTCCTTTAGATATGTACCCAAGTAAATACTACATAAATACCCATTTATTTAGAGAGAGAATGATATAGTATCTGGGTTTATAATTTATTTTGACCATGGTTAACTCGATTTTCCATGAAATCTTTTGTGGCCGAAGAGTTCAAAACTCATTATCAAGAGGGTTTGGTTTAAATAAGCTAAATTTATTCGGGCATAAGACTAGTTAATCTCAATTTAATTTATATCATACATTATAATCATGTAATAATTGATGATACCAAAGACCTGGCCAACGAGAGGGAGAGAGGGAGATGGAGGAAGGAAGGGAGAGAGGGAGAGAGGGAGAGAGATGGAGGAAGGGAGGGAGAGGGAGAGAGAGGGAGAGAAACCGAAGGGGAGAGAGAGAGACAGACAGAAGGGGAGAGAGATGAAGAGAGACAGGAAGAGAGAGAGGGGGAGAGACAGGGAGAGAGGGAGGGAGAGAGAGAGAGGGAGAGAGAGAGGGGGAGAGACAGAGGGAGAGAGAGAGAGGGAGAGAGAGAGGGGGAGAGAGAGAGGGAGAGGGAGAGGGGGAGAGAGAGAGACAGAGGGGAGGAGAGAGAGAGAGAGAGACAGAGTGACAGGGGCAGAGAGAGAGAGACAGAGGGGAGGAGAGAGAGAGAGAGAGACAGAGTGAGAGGGGCAGAGAGAGAGAGACAGAGGGGGAGAGAGAGAGAGAGAGAGAGAGGCGGTGAGAGGGGCAGAGAGAGAGAGAGAGAGAGAGAGAGACATTGAGAGGGGCAGAGAGAGACAGACAGAGGGAGAGCGAGAGAGAGAGAGAGAGAGACAGTGAGAGGGGCAGAGAGAGACAGACAATAGTCACTCCAATAATCGTACAACTCTTTGCAAATTAATCACCCCAAGATTCGTGAAAATAGCATTTCCTGGTGATAATGGAAAACCAACAGGTGTTGAGTTTATGGTGGGCACCGTGCCACGTCATTCTTTGCCAATGATTGGCTGACACCGCTTGGGATATTTTGCGAAATGCTCTCACCTTTTCGTGGATTTGGAGGGGGTGGGCATCGCGGTGATGGACGGTCAGGATGCAATCACGTGAATCTATCCTGGCCCATCCAATCGGTGAGCCCCAACCGTCTCCTTATCCAATTCACTCAAAAAGGAGAGACAAGATAGTAATTTTACTAGAATGCCTCTTAATGGGTACGTGTCTGTCATTTAGGGTAGTGTTCAGAGTTTTTTTGGGTATTTCATAAAAGATCACGATCGGCTGAGCGGCCGTGTCGGCGGCATACGGATCTCGCGCGGGCCCCACACCCTCCTGCGGGGTGACGCCGTCCAAATTAGTCGACGCCGTTTCCTTCTGACTACCCCTCGTGTTTTCAGGGAGCATTTTGGTTTAGCACCCCTCTCTCTCTCTCTCTCTCTCTCTCTCTCTCTCTCTCTCTCTCTCTCTCTCTCTCTCTCTCTATCTCTCTCTATCTCTGTCTCTCTTTCTCTCTCTCTCTCTCTACCGGCGATTATTTAAAGGGCACGTCCATCTTGCCCCCATCTTCTCTTTTCTTACCGGCAAGCTTCCCGACCGAACTCTGCAACCACCACCTCCCTCCCCCGACCAGTCTCTCTCTCTCTCTCTCCGTCGTTTCTCGCCGGAGGAGCGGGGGAGGGATCGGACGGGAGGAGCTCCGCCGCGCGCCGCCTCGCCGCCGCCGGGAAACGAGGAATTCCGCCGTGGAACGGCCCTAGTGGGGGAGGAATTGGCAGGAGGGGAATAGAATATTATAAGGCCGTTCGCCGCCTGGTGAAGGTGGGACTGCGGCGGTGGGGGTGGTGGTAACTTGCGGTGCAGGGAAGACGGGGATCGCTTTGGAGGATCTCGCACGGCACAGATTCCGAGAGTGTGGAAGAGTAAATAGAGTGGAGAGGGACAGACGGCAATGGGGGAATTGATCGGCTCCGCCTCCGTCTGACCTTGCTTTTTTGCCGTAATCCACACCGGCTGGCCGATCCTTCTTTTTCATGCTGTGTCTTTTGTTGACGGAGACAAGCACCGATTTGTGGGAGAATGGGGCGCGATCCGGTGAGTGACCCAATTTTTGTTCTTGGACTTCTCGACCCCCCTCCCCGCACGTCAACTTCTCCTTATCTTCATTCAAGCGTCGAAAGTTAAATCCTTTCGATCTGTTTCTCGCGTCGCGTGAGAAGGGAGTTTGTTCCCTGAGGTTGGAGGTGCTATCCTCCTTCTGAATTGCCGTTGTCTGACTTTTACTTGTGCCTGAGGTCGAACGAAGTTCATTGCTCTTTTAATTTTATTTAGTGTGAATGAATTTTCGACCTCATTGTTTCAACTTTCGGCATAACACTTGAAATTGAGAACTAGTTTCCGTCTATGGTGGTTTCTTCCCAAAAACCCCCCTTCTGAAAAATGCCGTGTTTCTTGGCTTATTTTGTGATGTTATTCTCCTCCTCTATGGCCGTCTCTTGCTGTCTCTCTCTTAACCCCGCATTAGCTTGTGTTTGTCTTTGCGGGCCATATTTTGTTCACTTTATTTGCATTCTCCTCTTCTGTCTGTTTCGACTTTATCCAGAAAGTGTTTTTCACTTTAACATTCCGATTGTGGCAGTTAATTGAGATTTTTCATCTGTGACGCGGATTTTCTTTGCTTCCCCTTAAGATCTTTATTTGATTAGAACTATCTTTTTGGGGCACACTGAAACGGATATCCTCTCCTTGATCAACTTTCCGTAGGCAACCTGGAAGCTGCTTTGAGGTCTCGAGGAGAGAGAGTTCCTTTTTAAGGCTCAGGATGCCATCTGAAATCATGGATCAGAGGCATCTGTCGTCCGTCTGCATGGCTTCTGCGCCATCAACGTTATTTTCCAATGGTATTTGTCTTCTAAGCGAGGTATGACCTGCCATCTGCATTCAGTATTCTGCCAATGATCTTCTCTTAACTTGGGACTAGTGTTCAACAAAAATTATTCGTCTACCAGACTTTCCTTGCTTTTCAATTCATTTTTGTGGAAGCTATGTCTTTATCCAACGAGCATTTCACCATTTCTAATTCGTCTTTGGTTAAAGAACATTTAACATTTTACGATTTCTAATTCGTCTTCCGTTTTCCTTCTGTTTGTTTAACTTTTCCTTCCTTTTTCTTCCCTATACAGAGACAAGCAGAATGTTGGAAGTCTGATTCTTTGCCGCATTATCATGGTTCGTGTTTATTTACCGCAACTTGAATGTAATGTTTAGTGACTGTTAATCAAAGGCGCCATTAATGCAATTCTGTGTTGTATAGTTCTCCTTTGACCTTCTGCAAACTCGTTGCCTGGTTGAAACAGTTTTAGGAATGGATTAGAATTTTTATCAAGATCGCCTGGAAACTGAGCGCGTCTGTACATGAACCGGGAGACTTTGAATGAATTTACTCTTACATCGAACTTCCTAGCATGTTCATTCATTGTCAGTGCTCATCACCATGTAGTTCAACATTTCTTTGTATGGTCATTTTCTATCTGCATTTCCATCCCCATGGCAGATTGTGTGCTTTGAGAGCAGATTTAAAAATCTAGTTCTGTGCTCTCGAATTTGTATGCCATGTAAGGTACCCTTTTGTCTTTAACCGTGCACAGCCCCAGTGGAAAGTTCTCCATTAATTGGTAGGATTCTCTGCATAGTGAACAAAGCCCACAACTATACACCGTGATTATTTATGTAGCAGCGATTCCCCTGAAGTAGCTCCTGTATGGATTATTTCAACCTTCGGGATTAAACTAATGGATTTCAGGAGAGTTTTTTTTTTGACGGAAATCTATCTGAGAATAGGCTTTGGAATTTATAAACCATTTCTTTGATATACTATTATTAGAGTCTTCCTAATCTTTTTATCATGCCTGACCTTCTCCCACCACATGTGAAATCATTACATTGAATGTTCATTGTCGTCATTTTTATGCTTGTCTGGTCGATCCTCTGCAGATGCTGAGGGAATGCCATCAGTTCCTGGAAGTAGACCCGCTGGAGAAATAGGGTTAAACTCAGTGGAACCCTTCAAATATTTTAATCTTTTTAAAGATCAGAGAAGCAAATTTGGAATTGACAAAGACTGCATGGATGCGGAAAGAACTATTAGGCAGTCTACGGCTCCTTGGAAGGCCACAGGACAGGATTCGGGGCTTCAGTCAAATTCACTAGGGTGTCCAGGATCTCCATTCGTTGACATGAGCAAGAGTGGCTTTCAATTCAAAAATGATATGCTATCTAGCTCGTTGTCAGAAGCGTTCAGCAGAGAATGTAAGCTCTACTCACCATGCAAAAGTTAATGTTCTTTCCTGGGGGATTCGAGGGGCTATAATATTTTTTATTTGTCTACTATTAAAAAAAAAATGTTCGTTGATCTTACCTTCATTATTTTTTGGCAAGTGTAACCCTGATTTAAGCTCATCTGAAATGATCTTACCATTCTGATTTTGCAGTGAGTTTATCATCTATGGATCCTTCATGTGGTCATTCAACCAATATTAACCCCAACCTGGAAGAAGATGAATCTTTTGAATCCTTGGAAGAAATTGAGGCCCGAATAATTGGAAACCTTCTTCCCGATGATGATGATTTGATTTCTGGAGTAACTGATGGCATTGAATATGTTCCTAGGCATAACTTTGATGATGTGGAAGATGACCTATTTTGTAGTATAGGAGGAATGGAACTTGAAGCTGATGATGGTTTACGTGGTAACAAAATTTTAGATCCTGCTGTTGGGGTCCGCAATTTTCAACAGGAAGTGCTTAGTGGTACGTTTTCTGGAGAACGCCTGCATGTTGACCGTCCCTCTAGGTCACTCATTGTGAGAAACATAAGTGGAAATGTTGAAGATTCCGAGCTAAGGGTTGTCTTTGAGGTGCTCATATCCACCATGCTTCACTTTTCCTGTGTTTTATCGTTGCCCCTATTCGGGTTCTGATTCCATGAGCCCTTCTATGTTGATTGTACTCTCTTATTTTTGCAGCAATATGGGAGCATTCACACTCTGTATACAGCCTGCAAACATCGTGGTTTTGTTATGATCTCATACTATGACTTGCGGTCTGCTCGCAATGCAATGAAAGCACTTCAAAACAAGCCACTGAAGAACAGAAAACTCGATGTACAGTTTTCGATTCCCAAGGTATATGCTCCCAACTGATTAATGCATAAACTATGCATGCATTTTTATTTTTTCCGTCCAAAGGATGTTTATGCATGAGTTAGACAGCTGCGTTTCTGCACTCTTTTGCTATTGGAGTCCCCATTTCTAGCTCATTTATTTGTTTTTATTTGATAAATCTCTATTTTCTTTTTCTGTCTGAACTAAAATGTGTTTCTTTGCGAATTTTTATGCTGAACACATCTGTGTGATACATGGGACATTTTACTTTTACCTTCCCAGGGGTAAAACAACGACCAAAATTCGGAAAACCTAAGATAGCAGTTAAAAAGCTAAGAGAAGCATGAAAAGCTTATTCTCTCTAGAAGACTTTATGTGGTTGAAGAATGTCTTATTCATTTGCTGAAGGGAGCAATAGACTGACTCTGCAAAAGTTGTGATGTAAAAGTGCAGTAAGCACACTTCAACCGTATAGGATAAAATGTTAATTTTTCAACTTCGAAACCTTGAAAACATGCGAAAGTACTGTGCTTTTTGATAATTCCTAAAGATATCAATGAAGCTTTGCATAGCATCTGAGAAGGGTTCTGTCTTCAATCGTACTGTTTTTTCTGTTCCATTAGATGGGTAGAATTATCAGCTGATACTCGACTAGATTGACCATCATCCAGAACTGTGCAGCCGATTTCTGGGACATCTTACTCGCACTGAATTTTGATTTCTTTTGTTGTCCATGTGTTGAACATATCTGCCACTCTTTTGTATTTTGATTCTCTTTTCTGGGCCATATATCAGCAGGACAATCAGTTTGAGAGTGATATTAACCAGGGTACACTTGAGATTTTGAACCTTGACTTTTCTGTTTCCAATGATGATCTCCTTCAGATATTTGGCATATATGGCGACATTAAAGAGGTATGACATGTTTTGGACCTCAGAACATCAGCTGTTTTTGTACTTCTGAGTATTAAAGTTTCAGCTATCCTGCTGATACACAGATTCGTGAAACTCCACATAAACGCCATCACAAGTTCATCGAGTTCTATGATGTCCGAGCTGCAGAAGCTGCTCTTCATAGTTTGAACGGAAGTGGCATTCCAGGAAAGAAAATCAAGCTTATTCCCAGCAGACCTGGGGTTCCAAGATGGAGGTATTCACACTGCACACTCTTTTTACATACGATTTCATAGAAATTTTAAATTGCCGTACCAAAATTCTTCCTGGGCCCTGGCCGACCTTCGCCGATGGTATAAATGCAATTTATATAATCATCATAAATAAATATTATATTTTCAATCATGGGTCAGTGAGATCAAACAAAGATCCAAGGTACTCAAGTTATCATCTCATCTAACTCAAAACTCAGTTACCAATTTTAGCAACTACGGATCTATTCATAGAAATGATAGCTTGTTGAAGTTGCTTAGCTATTCAACTCAGACCCAAGTAATGGCTGGGGAATGCCATTACTTGGACAGAATCCACGTACCATTGATGACTGTTGCTACCTGTTTGATAATATTTTCTAGCAGTTATTTTGGATGCGGAGGGAAACGAATTTTCTCATTGACATTCCTCCTGAAACCAGTGCGACGCAGCAGCCTTCTCCGGACCTGGAGCAGAGAGAACCTGCTGGATGTTGTCAGCTCGAGAGTCCATGTCACTACCCACCTTCAGGTGATCATGGTTTGTCACTCATGCCCATACTAAGATTCTCCTTGTTCCAACCATATATTATACACTCTTGAATGCACCTGTCGTGATATAGTTTAAATGTTCATCAGGAACCACCAATCATGGAGTGATCACCTCCTACGGCCTTGATGCTGGATCTTTTCATGCCAGACATTCTAGCCTTCACACACAACACCGATTTCTGGATAACAATTTCGGCGTTACAGCCTCTCCGATTAGGGTTTCGCCTGCGAGCATCAAAAGCAATCCAGCTGAGCTCGAGCTCAGTCACTCTCTGGGAGATCGGAACACTGGGTTTCCAAGTCCCTACTCTCGTTCCCTTCCCGAGTACCATGATTGTGTGACCAGTGGACTTCCCTTCAACTCCCTTAGCGCCATGTCCTCCATGTCCATGAACATCAACGCTCGACCAGTCAACGCCTTTGACAACATCCACATCCAGAATGCGGGCTCAGAGGGGGCCAACTCCCATCCCTTTGAGTATAATCACGGTAAGCCTATAATGTGGGTTCGGACATTGATTTCATTATTCAAGAACACATACAATTATCTTCTCTTTGATTGCAGCATTTGGGACCTCGGCGAATGGCAATGGCTGTCTTCATGGGCATCGTAATGCTTGGAGCAATGCGAGCCCATATCATCATCATCAGCAGCAGCAGCAGCTGCAGCAATCCCAAGGGCCGATGATATGGCCAAATTCTCCATCGCTTGTCAACATTCCGGCCTCTCCGTCGCAATCTCGCGGGCTTCCGAGGTCGCCGTCACCTATGGTGAACACATTTCTTCCACTCCGCCATCATCATGTGGGCTCGGCCCCTTCTGCAAATCCCTCCCTCTGGGACAGGCGGACGTATGTGAGGGACGGCGCCGCCAGCGGCCCATGTTTTCACCCGGGCTCGGTGGGGAGCTTGGGAATCTCCGGCATCTCCGGCCTGCACCCTCTGGAGCTTTCTTCTCGAAGCTTCCTTCCACACATTGGAGGGACCATCCTGGACCCCTCGCGGTATTCTCCTCAGCAACGGTGCCAGACGTTCCATGGGAGGAACCCAATGATCCCGGTGCCCACTCAATTTGATTCTCCCAGTGATCGAGCCAGGAGCCGGAGAAGTGATGCGAGCTCAAACCAGGCAGACAGCAGGAAGCAGTATGAGCTCGACATTGAGCGAATTATTCGCAGGGAAGACTCAAGAACAACGTTGATGATAAAGAACATCCCCAACAAGTATGCACCTCAAAACTCCCCTCCCTCCCTCCAACAACAACAAAAAAGAAAAAGTTAAAAAAAGAAAAACGAATCACAGCTGACTTTCTTCTCTTCATGGGATCCAATAGGTACACATCCAAAATGCTCTTGGCGGCGATCGATGAGAATCACCATGGAACTTACGACTTCATCTATTTGCCTATTGATTTCAAGGTAAGATTCTGCCTGATTTCTTGCTTCGGACAACATGTCCGGCCCTCTGCCAGTAGTTTCTTATCCATCGTCTGTCTTCCACCCCCTCCAGAACAAGTGTAACGTGGGGTACGCCTTCATCAACATGATAGATCCTCGGAAGATCATCCCTTTCTTTCAGGTTCTTATTCTTCTCCCTCATACCCTCTATAGATAGATGGCAAAGTTTTGATTTCATTTCATTTCATTTCATTCAGACTTTTAATGGGAAGAAGTGGGAGAAGTTCAACAGCGAGAAGGTGGCATCGCTCGCCTACGCCCGGATCCAAGGGAAAGCCGCCCTCATCGCCCATTTCCAGAATTCAAGCTTGATGAATGAGGATAAACGGTGCCGTCCGATCCTGTTTCAGACAGACGGCCCAAATGCTGGCGATCAGGTAACACAACGCATGCAATCATCTTTCAGCATCTTACCATCACTTGCAGCAGCGCTGTTTCTCCAAGTGTTGTTGGATGGCGATCACTATGTTCTTTTAGGGGTTGACCTTTTTCCAATCCATGAACTCTGATTCTCGTTTACCTGGTTCTCGAGTGGTTTTAGATGCCATATTTGATCACATATAATCGCATGAACTTAGTCATCTTATCCAATATGGGTCCGTACTAACCGAGATGCTCCAACGTTGACCATGAATTATTCGCAGAAAAATCTAAACCTCCTGCTTCTGTCATTCCGGCATCTAATCATGGGTTTACTTCTTTTCTTTTTGTCCATTTATGGAAACTTAGGAACCCTTCCCCATGGGAATCAACATCCGATCCAGGAACGGGAAGCCCAGGGCGGCAGGCAACGAGCAAAACCAGATGGGTAGTAGCGGCGGCCTCCCCTCCGTAAACGGAGAGGAATCGCCCAACGGGACAGACTCTTCACCAGGTTCGGTAAAGGCCTTGGACTGATCGCACCATATTCGCCCAACCCGGCTCTTCATCACTGCTCTCTCTCTCTCTCTCTTGATCGCTCGCTCGCTCGCTCATTTGCTCCGGCAGTCTGCTCACAATTTTGCCGATATTCTCCGACACAAATTCCTCTCCAGTGCTTCCCATTTTCTTCTCCCTTCCATTGTATAAATCTATGGCCGACTCTGACCCAAAGATGGGGAGACGCAGAAGGAGAGAGAGAGAGAGAGAGAGAGAGAGAGAGAGAGAGAGAGAGCTCCATGTACGACAGAGAAGAGAAAGCAAAGTCAGAGCCTGTATCATCTTCTCCCCTCTCTCTCTCTCTTCTTCTCTCCTCTGTATTATCTTCAGATTGTTTCCCCAGGTGGATGATGTCTGATCTTTTTTCTCCTGGGGAGGGGGGGGTCGGGCGAAACTCGGCTGGACGACGGGTTGACTCCGGAGCCGGGCGCTGACCATCTTCCATGTATGTATGTCAAGTTTATATACATATAAATATCAAATATACGTTTTGTGATCTTCCTCCATATCCTTCCACGCTGCAAACCTCCACCTGCTCTTCTACTCACCAAGGAATCGGTTCATCCACGCTGCACTGATCGGCAACAAAGAGCCCAAGACACCGCTGTTGAATCGGAGGAACTCCACACAGAAAGCTTAGATGAACTCGAGCTCAAAGGATGCTCTGCGGGGGTGGGGGGGGAACCAGAGACCAGAAACCATGAGTTCCCTCCAGAGTCTCGGGGAGATTTATTCAATCGGAGGCAACAGAGATCGGACCCATCGAAGAGCTCCTGCTCCAACTGGATGATTGCCTCAGTGTTTCTCCCTTGCGCTCAGCCAAACACTCTCGATGCCGCTTCTCCCTTGACCGCCACAGAGCTCCATATCTTCATCTTCTCCCATCAGCCTGACACTCATTACATACAAATCAGATGCTACCCCCTCCTCCAAAGAGCCATTAAACTCTCACTTGAAATATATATATATATATATAGAGAGAGAGAGAGAGAGAGGGAGGGAGGAAGTTTACCGTAGAGGATGTCATAGTGACCGGGACGGTAGAGCAGGGTAACGAAGGGCCTGGACGGGTTGCCACCCTCTGGCGCGTCCTGTGAAGCGACGAAGTCATGGTGGTTCACATTCAGCACACCGCCATCGCAGGAGCTGCGGTCGAGGTAGACGATGCGCACGGCCACTCCCAACGTATCCGACAAGGCCGTGATGTGGATGTGGTCGCTCTCCTCCCCCATTGGCTCCACCGATGTCTTGCAGAACTACCCATTAACGACTAGGCAGAGGTGAGAAGAGCGAACCAATACATAGCAAGCAAGCAAGAGAGAGAGAGAGAGAGAGAGAAGGGGGGGTTTACAGCGTTTACCTGGTCCACGGTTCCGATCCCGTTTGTGAAGCCCAGGATGAAGGGCTCAAAGAACTCCGCACGCCGGCGGATCTCACCGGACGTGACGAATCTGAAGAACATCACCACTGGGCAAAGATGAAATGTTAACAGGAGAAGACAAGAAGACAAGCGCGAGGAGAAAAAGTGCAGGCTGGTGAGCTCACTGGAGTCCGAGTATGACCGATCCTGACACTTCTGCAGGAGCTCCTTGGCACTGGAGCAAGGGAGTGCATCGGTTTTCAGTTGATTAACATCAATAACAGCTGACCGAATTCACTGTCGGGCACACGAATCTCTGGTCTCTCTGTTTGCCAAAAAAAAAACTATTCTCACCAACCTTATCGATCCTTCTCCGCCTTGGATCACACCATCAAGCAGCTCGATGAATGTCTACAAGACATGAACCAGATAGTTACCTTTACGAGTTTTTTTTTTTCTTCTGTTTTAGGAGGTGGGTAGTGCCGCAGGTACATTAGATTTAAGGAGAGAGAAGAGTATGTGAGCTCTCCAAAGAAAAAAAACAAGAAAACAAATCAATACAGCTTGCACCGTTCATTCTACAACGCTAACACCTCCAAACCAATGAATATTCACTTTAAAGCATATGGGAGTGAAAGATTACGATCTCCATTGAACAGCTATGGTGTCTCTTGGTACAAGAATTAAAAATGCCCAAAAAAAAAAACATAGAAGAATCTTGAGGGTAAAAGATTGAAACAGAATGTCTTTCACAGAAAAGGATATTTATGAGTGGCATCGTTGGAACTCTCCTCTTTCTGAATTGAAAACAGCTATCTTGGGGGAAAACCGTCAAGCAATTCCTTCTTCAGGGTGAAGACCAACAAAATCTTGAAACGAGCCCCCAGAATCATAGCCCCAGTCCGCCAAACTAGCTACCCATAGCGACTTGGAATGAAATGAATTAAAAAGTAAATATAGAAGGTTTTCCGGGGAGAACATATATCCCTGTTGCAAAGTGGCCAACACTAGTAAGTCTACTTTGAGAAAGAGACTTGTTTTCTCATCTAATGGACTAAAGTTTTGCATCTAAAACTTCCTATGAAAATAATTCATTTTAAAAAAACTAGTCATAACAATTACAAAGAAAGAAGCGATTTGTTATCGATTAACAGATTTAAGACTGTCGCAGAGGAGGCACTAAACTACAAAGATATCAAGTAAAAAAAAATTGGCCGGTGTATACTGCAGTTTGTAGAAGGTTCCAATAAAGTTTACAAAACATGAACTACTACTGAGGTTTTCTTGGGATGGTAACAAGAGGTACTCTGTGGAGTCTTGCTCAAGGCAGATGGGCTTTATAATACATGAATGACATACACCAGCATAACCAGATATTATTTCCAAGATATATGGCGAAAAGGAACAAAAAGAAAAAAGTGATGGGCTTACGTCAAAGTAATCTTCAAAGGTGAAATCAGCATATCCAAGATTTTGGAGGGTCTTCTTGCATTCCTCAATATCTGATTTAATACGGTAAACTTCGGCCTTGTCTTGTGTTTCCAGTATATGCTCCTATAAAGCAATGTCATCATCTTATTTGCCTCGGAGGAGAAACACTTGGCAGTAAAGAAAAATGTACATTTATTTGTTTCAAAACATACAATAACTTCACAATTACACGGGGGAAAATATTTAATCTCAACAAACTCCTCGTTGGGCGTGTGGGTGGTAAGTGTACCAGGTAAGAAAACATAAAGCTTCGGAAGAAACAGTTCCCATCACCCCTTGTTCGTCTTATACCAGAATAATGTTCAGAAAGCATCTGAAAAAGGGGAAATAAAATGGAAGCATAAAAAGAGATTACAACATAGAATGATAATAAAATGGAAGTTAGCCTCATTTTCCACCGCATCACCAAATAAACCTTGATCTTTTCCAGTAAGATTGGACTCCCAGATTGATACTCAGCTGCTAATGCCGACAAAGGTTCCTGCAATGGAAGAATCTTCTACTCATCACGTACCAAATGATGAAAATTCGGAAAAAAAAAATCCCATCTAGATGGAATTAGTTTGTCAATACTGTACGATTAAAGGGGCTAAAAATTAAAGACAGTGATTTCCTGAGTGAAAACCCCAGAAGACTAGATGAATAACTCAACTCGACTATACAGAAGATGGACTGCCTCCCGTTCAGTGACAGTTGGCATAAGTAGAAACACATTATAGTATCATCAAAATATAATTCAAGCATTAAGTCCATCATGCTTCCTTCCTCGAAAGCAGAAGATGTGCTATAATACGTCATCCTGAAGCAAAGCAAGCACTAAATTAAAAGCCAGCGAAACCTCAACTCATCTGACCTCATGTTTGTGTTTTTTTAAAAATATACAACAGGCATTACAATGCTACCACGCTACATTATGACTTACGACATGCTTTATCTATGCTCCAAGTACTGGACAACTATACGTTCATCCAGATTCCATGATGACCTTGCTTTCTAGATTTTCTTCTAATCCATGTCGGGCATCAAGCAACCCTCTTTCCCTGTTAGCTATGATTTTACCGTCCTCCCCCTCTCTCCTTTCAGTATTCCTTCTTCCTTGAAAGTAGTAGTACCAGACCTCCATTTAGGAAAAAAGAACCTAAAGGCTAACGTCAAAGAATCTAAGATATCCAGGTGCGCAGGACATAATCAACTAGCAGGAAATTAGGCAATCTATGCATGAAACTCAATAGAATCAGGGTTTCCACATCCAGTAAAAATGGCAGGTAATACGGACATCATAGAACCAACCGCTAATAAGCTTTTTACGAACAAACACCAACACCACTAAGCAAATGAGGGCGCACACGTGATCATCTTCTTGATTTTTTCCATATTCGGTTCCATTCATATGTACAAATCCAAAGGAGGAACTGTTTAAATTAAGGTACGCTAAAAAAACGAAAACAGGATAAAAGTGCGCACTATTGTCACAAGAGGGAAGCACGAAAAAGCTTTACAGGAAAAAAAAATCCTCCAGAAAATCCATTCGAAGGGATTAGGACCATCTGAGAGAACAGCCGATGCTAATTCAGGGTATAGTTGGAGAATGATTAGAATCGTTGAATTGGTAGGAACTCAGAAGTACATGAGAGCTTAAAAGCATCCAACACGAAACGAACACGAAAGAAATAAGCAATCGACAATGACAAATCGGTGTGGTACAGTCATAGCATAACGCTCAATGAACATGTTCATCAGAAAAGGTGATGTATCGTGGCTACATCCCAGAGAATAGGAGCCAAGAACCGGGGGATCTGACCTTCTCTCCAACGCAGAGCATCTTCTCGGCCTCCTCTTCCAAAATGTTCGATTGCTGATGCAGAATATCATCATCCCTGAAGCTAGACCAGTCATACTCATCCGGACCAGGAGTCTGCGAGGATCCAACCCCAAGGCCCAATCGGAGGGCAGACTGTCCAAGAACACTGTCCACGGCAGCGCTAGGGTTCGAATTTAAACTGCAGCATTCCTCCTCCACGCCATCTTCTGCCGGAGAGTTATGCATCGTCTCCTTCAAAGGGGAAAGTGGCGGAGGAAGAACCACGGACAAGCGATCTCCGCCTTCCCGCCACCTTCGGTCGTCCTCTTCCTCCTCAGCTCCCCCCCTTCCTCAGTAGATCCTCCAGAACACGGCGGGAGGAGAGATGGGGAAGTGTTCGAGGATTCAGAGGAATCGCGTCAAGAACTCTGTCGGGAGAGTTGTCGTGTTCCGCCGGACTAGGCTATTATAGTATTACGAGTCTCGCATTTTTTTCCCAATACGCCCGTTATTCATTTTAAATTCAGTTTCACTCAAACAAATGTCATATTATATAAATACCTTATTAAAAGTATTATTACGATCTTGGCATTTTTTCCTATACGCCTTATAACTTTTATTATAAAGCAATTTCGCTCAAACAACGATGAAATTATGTAAATACCTCATTAGTTGGGGAAATAAGACCCAGATCGGGCTTAGCACGACTCACACCTTTATGGAATTCTACAATTTTAAAATTAAATTTTAAAAGGTTTTATTTTAAATATTATTTAATTTTTAATGTCTAATAATATTACGTCGCCATTTGGTGAGAAAATTTACTATACATATAGATTTATTTTAATTTACTCGGAAATATAAGCCTTGGCCTTACGTCATGGTGTTGACATCCTGTCTCACAACGGGCATAGGTATAATACATTTTATAGCAGGGGTCAGATACAAAACTACAACATCAGATACAGATTTACCTAAATACCCATTTTTCTTTGCTGTCCCTTGTTTTCCAGGGCTTTAAGAAAGTGACGGCGGCGAAGAAAACACCTTCGAACATTTGCATTTAAAACCTTCTAACATCGTGCAATTGCATCGTATACCCCACGGGTTCATTACAGTGTCCACTGGTAAACACTTTCGGGTTTTTTGTTTGATTATGTTAATTTTATGATATGTTAAAAATATATACCGTAGAAAATCTTTTACTTCAAGTCTATAATCTCTTTATCATCAATTAGATGAGTGAGTGAGTGAGCGAGAGAGAGAGAGAGAGAGAGAGAGAGAGAGAGAGAGAGAGAGAGTGAACAGAAGAGAGTCATGTAGTGACATATTAAAAACTTCATAATTTTATGAAAAAAATAATTATTCTGAATGATTTCAAAGAATGCAATTTTTTTCTTTATGGGCTTGGTTTTTAAACCACAAACTATAAAAATGATTCATCATAAGTACCATTGACTTAGAACTTTATTTATTTATGCTTCAATTCTCTAGAGAAATTGTAATATGAAGAAATTGATATATTATTTTAATTTTGACTATGAAGAAATTGAAGGATAAATGAATAATTGAAGGATAATGGTAATCATGATGAACCACTTTTACAATTTTTGATCTAAAAACCAAACCCATAAAGAAAAATTTTGCATTATATGATGTCAATCAGAATAAATCTTTTTTTCATAAAATTGTACCCTTTTTAATATGTTACTGCATGACCTGCTCTTATGTTCACTCTCTCTCTCTCTCTCTCTCTCTCTTCTAATTGACAGCCCGAGCAAGGATAATATAGATCCAATCCTGATCTATTCTTACGTTGATGTTTCTAAGTTCTTGAATGAAAGGAATAAACATGAATTGGTATGAATTTCTTGATGGAAATAATCACAAGTTGGGGACTAGACATGGTAGAGAGAGAGAGAGAGAGAGAGAGAGAGAGAGAGAGAGAGACTTACAGCTAGGAAGCGGCCATGAGATTTCTTGGGTTACGACAGACAAGTCATGTTTTGCCTCTGGAATGCAAGCCCACTACATGTGTTTTCTCTCTTTTGAGTTCACTGAAAATGATATAATGGAGAGGGTTCCTGGTGATCGTAATGCTGACTGCCTTCATTTCCTGGAAGTGGAGAGGGTTCTTGACGAGGAAACAAGAGCTTCAGGCGAAACGCATCGACTCCATTTAAATAATACCGAAATAATCTCTTGGCCCTGATGAACCCAAGTCGGCCATACAGAGCCAGGGCTCCCTTGTTGGTGACTTCTGCCTCTAGAGTGACCTACAGGAGGAGCAACCCAGACCTAACCAAGGTAAATGACTCTAGATCTGATAAAAATGGTAGACATGATTATTCTGTTGAAATATCTTCTGTAGATATTCTGTTGAAAATGATAAATGAAATGGTCAAAATTTTAAAATCAGAATCAATCGAAAATGTAGAGAACAGTTTTAATTTTTTTTCATCATTAGAAAATGTTTTTTTAAAATTTATAACATATATAATTTCTTCCAATCATTTCAGACTATTCTAATGATCCAATTCTCGAATATACTGATTTTTTGTTATCTAGCAAAAAATAATTGATTCCAACTGGTGCACCTCTGAGTCTTGTATATTATTCCTGAATTCATGCCTTCTATCTGGGTCAACCAAAAACAAGCCTCAAGCATAACTGGCGCTGACAATTGGAAAAAATTGGAAGAAAGTCAATATCAAGTTGACTGACTTTTTAAATATATAAGGGGAAGAACTGCCCATAGAACGGGAAAAATAAATGTTTTCGCTTCATTGTGGACTAAGGGGAACGAGCCGGGGGGCGGGGGGAGGGAGGTGGAGAGATCAAATCCGAAACTAGAGTACCAGGGCCTTCAGAACTTGATGAGAGCAGAAGACTGGGCACAAACGGAGAGGAGAATCTGATGGGCATAATCCAGAGAAAAGTCCATCCTATTCTGCAATAGACCAACTAAAAGTAGATACCAGAACATTATTTTATGGGCATTTGTTGGCATCTAACGACTATTGGCACAAGATGCTGTGCTTGAACAAAAAATAAAATTTTCTCTCTCTAGCTGATATCCGAATCAAATATTTACGCATGATTTTGGGTTTTCTAGATAGGACAAGAATAGCTGGTAGATCCAAAGTGAATCTGCGTCGAATCATCTTTTCTGTTTGTGAGGTCTGAAAAATAAACTTATCCACAAGTCATGGTGTGAAAGACACTGTATAATCAATGGCTGAAATAGCAGGAATGTGTAGATGCAACACAGATGATATCACAATCCTTTAACTCAGAAATCTAAAATCGTAGAGAGCTACCAAAATCATAATGGGCTAGGAAAGACTCACCTCTTCACATCCAGATTCCATCATTACTCTTATGGATCTAGTAACGAGTTCAGTAGCTGCAATGAGGGGGAAATTTAATTAAATAACACATAAGAAACTGAACATAACTTTTCACTCTTGCAAAAAAATGGAGTTAAAAGGGTTTCTCGTTTGGAAAATCCACTATGAAGCTTAGAACAATCCAGTTCAACGCAGAATTGGAAAATTTCTGTTTCAAGGCAGAATTCCAGGTCTCACACACATCCCTTCCCAGACACATTCCATCGGAGTGGAGAGAGAGAGAGAAAGGGGTAATATAATTTCTTAGAAAAAATTCTCCACCTCGTAAAATATAAGAAACTCCTAAACCCTTGATCATGCCCCACGAATTCTAACAGTCAGCAGACTTCCTATGTTCCGCTTGTGGATGCTAATTCTTACAAGGAAAGAGAGAGATAATGACATGGCATCATTTACCTATGCCTCGGCCCCTGTAAGGTTTGACAACAACCAGCATAGCAATGTACCCCCGGAAGCTATGGCGATGCTCCCCCATCTTGCAGACGACGGTTCCCACACATTTTCCCTTATGGAATGCCTGATCATCACACAACAGTTAGCTCCAGGTACTCAGCGACGGCGAAGACCTAGAGAAAGATAGACTTCGTATCTAGATTGGGGGAGGGGGCCGGGGAGTACGAGGAAAGAGAGCTGGGGCCACTGGTAGACGAAGTAACGGTAGGTGAAGATGGAGTAGGGCTCGCTCAGCTCCTGGTCTACTAGCGCCATGATCAGCGGCAGGTGGTGCTCGCCGCCATAGCTCATGTACTCTATCTCCTCCGGCGAGAATTCCTCCGCCGCCGCCGCCTCTCGGCCGCCGCCAGCATCCTCCATCTCCCCTCTTCCCTGCAGTCCCCGAACGCCCCCTCGGAGGTCTACAACTGAACCAATGCGCCTAATAACGGGCTGGAGTTTCAGTTATATACTAGCCCATTATGAGCCCAATAATATCCAACCAGCCCAGAAGTGCTCTCTCTCTCTCTCTCTCTAACGCTCTCTACGCTGATGGTTGTCTGAAGGGCCCACTAACTAGTAGGCCCAATGTTTCATTCATGGCGTCATGGAAGGTTCAGCTATAAAGTGAGCTCTCTCCGGGAACCAGTGCTTTCTTTCCCTCCCACCTTCCGTTCTGGTGCTGCTTTGGTTGGCGAGGGCGGAGGAGAAGCCGAGGGAGGGAGTTTCTGGGATTTCCGCGGAGGAGGGGGGAGGAGACAGTCAGGGAGGAAGCGGAATGGCGACGGGATCTGTGGATCTGGAGGAGGTCCCGTCGGTGGATCTGATGACGGAGCTCCTCCGCCGAATGAAGTGCGCCACGAAGCCCGATAAGCGCCTCATCCTCATTGGTACCGATCTTCCTGATTCAGAGAGTTTCTCTGCTGCGTGTGTATGCGTTTGCTCTTGGGGATCTTACTAGGGTTTGTTTTGGGAGGTTTTGGCTTCCCCGTGGTAGTTCTGGAGAAGTTTGTGATTTATAATTTGGTTATTTAAATGTTTTCTGTAACTTCATTCTCCATTTCTCTGAATGTATATATCCGCGGAGGGTTTTTGCTTCCGTTGATGTAGTTCGTCTTATAATTCTCCGTTTGCTTAGGCTTTACAATTTATATCCTAAATGGTTTACTTTGTGGAAAGGAGGAAATGATTGAATATGATAAGTCCTGTAAAAATGCGTGTTTTTTGTTTATTCGGTTGAATTGGCTAAAATTTTACACGACTTTTGTCGATTTCGTTGTAAAAATAAAAATTTATGAATAGGATTTTCTTACTCCTGCTTTTTTTTCCGATTTCTTTACTGTCGACCACCTAGTAAGAAGAAAATCAATGCAGTCGTGCGACTCGGCCAAATAGTGCTCTATGGTTTGATGGTTTTTGCTGACTCGGTCAAGCATTCTTTTTTCTTTGTTCAATTCCGTCTCACCAACCCACGGAAGTGTTGTGAGTATCGTTGAATTTTTCCACCTTTTTTATTTTATAGGTACATTTGAATTTTTCCCTAAGTAATATACTGCCAATAGGAAGACAGATGACATTGATAAACAGAAGAGAGATTTCAACTCGTTTATTTGGGCTCCATATTAGTGTATCTCTAATACATAAGTGCCATTTCACGGTTTCCTTATATCATTTAATGATGATGACATTTCTGTGCATTAATTTAATCGAGAAACTTAGATTCAATGTCATTAATGTGAATTCGTTGCCCGACCTTTGAATGCCACTTTTAATTTTCCAATTTCTGATGCATCACCAATCATGTCGAAGTCAGCTAAGATTTATGGTGATTCTATGCGCTCTTTAAGCTGCGCACATCGTTTGGATATTTATACCACTCCCCTACTCACAAATATCTTGAATGAAAGATCCCTCTCCCGAGCAAATAACGTTGATGTGAGAGTTGTAAATGGGAACCCATTATAGTTCGGGCAGAGATATGTAAGATATACTGATATTCTTGAATCTCAAAAAAAAGATTATTTTCCCCTAATTTCTCCTAGAAAAATTTCTTCTCGTTATATTCGTTTTGAAGAGCAAACTCTACTACTGATCTACTACTGAAAACAAGGATTTCTGCCGTAGTGTTTGCCAAATTTAATGGCCTTGTACCACTGTCAGTAACAGTAGCCTTGTGACCTGTTAGTCATCTTTTTCGAGCATGGTGTGTTCCTTGTTCAAGAACGATTTTCTTTGGATTCGTTTTTGCTAGCAGCTTTCTTCTTGCATTTTGTTGGCCTCTCTCCCTTGAACTGACCCTTGTGTCTCAGAGGGTGAAGTTGTCTGGCCTTCATTTTCTATCATTTATGTATTCTACTTTATTAGTTCTGATGCTGGAAGTCTCCGTTTAAAAACAATCATTATTGAGTTAAATCTTTCTATGATTTTTCTTTTTTATTTGTGAACTACCGAGTTTCATATTTTTTTTGTTTTTCTGATTAGCCTTAAACCTATGTTACTCAGACTCGTGATTGATTTCAGACTACGGAGCAAGATGAATATCACTCTTTGATATTTTTCATTTCTTATTCATTCTCAGGGACCATGCCACTCACTTGTGCCAGATTTCCTACTTTTTTAAATATTGAGTGAATTATGAAAACACATCTGTTAATGTCCAATCTAGAGTTGTAAGTTTGTGTGAAAGCTCTGATCGCAGTTCATTTTTAAAATTGGTCAATATTTTATTTTTATTTCATTTATTTTGAATCCATGCGAAATGTGGTGCATTTAGGTCCACCTGGATCTGGAAAAGGAACGCAATCACCCATTATTAAGGACGAATATTGCTTGTGTCATTTGGCCACTGGTGACATGCTGAGAGCTGCTGTTTCTGCAAAAACTCCACTGGGTATTAAGGCAAAGGAAGCCATGGATAAGGTTCTGATCTCCGAAAATTCCCCGACATAATAGTGGCCTGCTATCTGATTTGTTTATGTGACATAATCTGATTTGTTTCATTGGTTGCATAACCCTTTTAGGGAGAACTTGTATCTGATGACTTGGTTGTTGGGATAATCGATGAAGCAATGAAGAAAACCTCCTGCCAAAAGGGCTTCATACTTGATGGGTTTCCTAGGACTGTTGTTCAAGCACAAAAGGTTCGCAGTTGAAAATACAATAGCGTGTGCTCTGATAAATGTTCTTGGACAACTGCTCTTCTAAGAATCACTTTTTGCAGCTTGATGAGATGTTGGACAAACAAGGTACCAAAATAGACAAGGTGCTGAATTTTGCAATTGACGATGCAATCTTGGAAGAGAGAATTACAGGTCGTTGGATTCACCCTTCTAGTGGAAGAACATACCATTCGAAATTCGCACCTCCAAAGGTTCCTGGAATTGATGATGTAAGCTCTCAAGGGTTGTATTTTCTGAGCCTAGGGATTAAAACTGTTATTTTCAATTGACCTTGTTTTAAAGTTTGGCTATTATGTTCATCAACCTGCTGCGTTACATGATTTCATGATATTTTTTTCCGAAATCTCACAGCTTCGATCAGAATTATGAGTTTGAAAATGGATTGCGCTTGTTATAAACCTGTTGTTTAATGATCTGAAATGTCATTTGATTCTACGAAATGATCCTGCAGTAGACATGTGCCTGGAACTTTGAATACTTCCCTTCTTATTGTTGATATTATCAGTCCCTATTTGGACTATTTTGTGGCTTGTCTATGATCTAAGATATTGTTTCTCCATCCCCCCCTAGAGTCGCTTATTTTATTGCCTTCAAGTCAACTCACGCAAGCTAGGTCAATATGACCACAGATTCGTTTCAAATTCCATGTGTGATATCTTTTGATAATTCTTTTGTCGGTGTCATGTGTTTCATTATCCTAAATGGAGTACAATTTTGAATAAGGCTTCAAATTATGATTTTTCAGTGACAATTTGTGCTTGCGTGAATGAAATGGAAGAAAGATCTTCATTCATTTTTAATATTAATACATAAAGAATGACATCCTTTTAAAGCACATGGATAAGTATGCATTAAAAGAGGTGGAACAGAAAAGTGTGAAAGACTAGGCTAGATACTAGGATGTAAGATGTAAAGGTTGCTACTTGAACTCTTGCAGAAACTGATGCTCCTGCTACTGCCAGGTGGATAACTGAGGTGTATTGGATTGTCTTCATTATTTCTGTGAAGGAAGTCCGAAAAACTTTCTTTGGAGATTTTCGGAAAATTAAGGTTGCTTAAAAATAAAATACTGATTAAGGTCAATAAATATATAGACAAAAAAAGTTACTATAAGCCACAGATTTGGTTACTGAAAATTTGAAAAGCCCCAGGAACTTAGGGAATCTGATATAGTCATATTTCTCATGCTTTCTACAGATCAGCCTCTAAGATATTGCTCCATCATACCAAGGAAAAGAAAGAGGATCTCTAAATATTTGCCATTGGACGGGCAGATTTGCTTCTTTATTTAGAGTGTTTGCACTTGAGTTACACTCAACGATGTCACACAGTTGATTTTTGAGGGAATAGAAGTTTGGATACCCTCAGGAATCTATTTTGGTTGTGGAGCCCTAATGTCAAGGTCCTCTCTAAAGCCGTCTTAGTCATGCGCACACATACCTGCCTTAGGGCTGTTACCTCGGCAAGAAATACTGTAAACTTGTCATGCCCTAGTTGTTTGCTAAATGACAACGGTGGTTCAATTATTTGATGTGTCACAAGGTTTTTGAGTAAATTTTTTCTTCTTATTATGTTGAATGAGGAGTGCGACTCTTGAACTTGTGGAGCATTTCTAAATGGCATTTGTTTTCAACCAAAGATGTTTCATGAGCGGTATCTATTCTTACTACCATCGGATATGCTGGTTTTTCTTCAAAATTCCAGGTGTAGCAATTTTCTTGTCTAATCCTCTGTATTTTAATTTTTTTTCCTTGGCACAATATGCTGGTTTTGGCTCCATCAGAACTTCAAAATCCTAATTTCTTCCATTATATTCTGATGAACGTTTAAATCCTTTTCGACTTTCATTAATGACAGGTCTCAGGGGATCCATTGATTCAACGAAAAGATGACACAGCGGCAGTTCTCAAATCCAGGCTCGAAGCTTTCCACCGACAAACCGAACCTGTATGTTTGCTTTATTTTTCATATTTTTCATCGCATAGCAAGTTTTTGGGATTTTGTGGGGAGATTATGCTCGAATAATTTTGCATGATTTTGCTGATTTTTCGTGCCTACCAATTGATTTCACAATTAGTGGAAAATACTTGTATTATTATTATATCTGCCAGGAGAAGTTTATACTGCTGATGGTCAATTCTCAGTACCATTCTTTATATAATGGGCATGAATTGTCCCGAATTCTTTGGTTATCTGAGATTTTCCTCTTAAGCGTGGAGAGATCTCAGGGAGGGTTCTAAAAGAATTGGCCATCAAAATGGGCATTTCGAATTTTTTTCATATATAATTTTCTCAATCAACTGAGAAACATCTCATATTCTCCGATTACATGATATCCTGCTGCAGTCATCCTCCTCTGTAAGGATGTGAGAAAAGATGTAGGAAATTGGTGTATGAAATCAGGGTCTTTATATATATATATATATATATATATATATATATATATATATATACCTTTTTAAGTAATGCTCTCAGATTTCTACTTTGAAAATATGTTCATCACATTATTAATATATTTTTGGGCTAGCCTACGTTCGGAAGCTATCATTATCTTGAAATAATGTATATTTCAGGTAATTGATTATTACACGAAGAAGGGCATCGTTGCCCAGCTGCACGCTGAGAAGCCTCCCAAGGATGTTACTGTCGAGGTTCAGAAGGCGCTCTCTTGAGAAGGCCATCATATTTTGACACTTAAAGAGCCTGATTTTGCTTTCCTATTCCAACTTATACCGATTTATTGTCGGTAATTGCTCTTTGATTTAAGTCCTCAGGAGTAGCTTTGATTTTCCCGTAGAGCATAGAGATCTTTCTGTCGCCCTTTCAAATAAGTATCCGACTATTAAACAAACTCATGGAAATTTTCTTGTCGCTGTCCCAATCGATTTGGGGTAGCTTTTCAGTGGGATTATAGATAAATTTCTCTGATGTTGTGCCAAATGATTATTCTCTGATTTCCTTAACTTATTCGAGCTTTTTTACATCAGCCTTTGATTCGTTTTAGTTCATTCTGTGGCGTGATATTATTATTTGGATGCTGCCAATCTTAGCCTCTCTCTCTCTCTCTCTCTCTCTCTCTCTCTCTCTCTCTCTCTCTCTCTCTCTCTCTCTCTCTCTCTCTCTCTCTCTCTCTCTCTTTTGCATACGTAGCGTGGGTGGGCTTTATACAAGCACCTTATTGGATGCTGCCAATCTCTCTCTCTCTCTCTCTCTCTCTCTCTCTAGAAGCACCATATTAGAAGGGGAGTTTTGGTCTTTATACAAGCACCTTATTGGATGCTGACAATCTCCCTCTCTCTCTAGAAGCACCTTAATGGAAGCTGAGTTTTTGGGCTTTATACAAGCATCTTATTGGATGTTACCAATCTCTCTCTCTCTCTCTCTCTCTCTCTCTCTCTCTCTCTCTCGCTATATATATATATATTATCTTTTTATGTTTATGGGCTTGGCCTACGTTTTCTCTCCTCACCCTTATAAATACGGCTTCCGCCCTTTTTATTTTAATATTATTATTTTTTGTTCACATGATATCAGAGCCCTCCTAGGGTTTTCTATCGGTGCCGCCGTCTCCACGGCGACTCTCTAGTAGCTGTCTCCTCGGCACCTCGTGTGTGGCCACCTTACTGCGCTGCTCTCCTACTTAGTGCCGCCAAGTGTCGGCCCACCACTGTATGCAGCCGCATGCACCATGCGTCCTCGCATGCAGCAGCACCGTGCGTCGTTGGTGCCACTTGCCGGTCCTAGGGCATCGTGGTGCCACCATCGTGCACTGTCGCATGCAGCAGTGTTTCGTGTATAGTCACATGACACGAGCACTCTGTGTGTGCTTGCCTCAAGTATGACGCGCTTTGAATGACACTTCGTGCACGCTTGCCTTGAGCACGATGCACTTCGTGTACATTTCAGATGACGTGACATGTGTTTCGCCGCACAACGCGCTCCCTGCGCCTGTCTTTAGGTGCAGCGGCCCATGTGCCTCGGCATATCAGTATGCACACCAGCGCGCACTCGTTAGAGCTGCCCAGCATGTTTAAAAAGCAACAGGTGGTTGTATTGTTGAGTGTTAAATCAGAATATCGGGCTATATGAAATGCTGCATGCGAGCTTATTTGAGTATGACAATTTTTTATAGAGTTTGGGCTCTTTTGTCTTTAGCTTGTGTTTCTTATGTGACAATTAATTCGTGTTTCATATTGTTTCAAATTTTATTTTTCATAGATTGACAAAATATATTGAGGTTGATTGTAACTTTATTCGGAAGAAGTTTTAGGCTCAACGTTCCAACTTGAGGAGTGATATATATATATATATATGTTTATTAGCCTAACCCACTTTCTCTCTCCTCCTCACCCATGTATGAATAAAGCTTCTGCCCTTCTTTTCAGTTTAATATTATTATTTTCTCCATGGACAATAATATAACATATGTAGTGTGGGTGGGCTTTATACAAGCACCTTAGTAAAAACTGAGTCTTTGGACTTTATACAAGCACCTCATTGGATGCTGCCAATCTTAATCACTCTCCACCTCTCTCTCTCTCTCTCTCCCTCCCTCCCTCCCCTTCTTTATACAAGCACCTTATTAGAAGTTGGGTTATTGGGCCTATTTTGGCCCATTTTCAGCCCAGACCCTATATGAAGCTCGTCCATTGGTCTCATTTATTGTGATTTCTTCATTCTAACTCGATTTTTGGCCAAACATTGTGAAATCTCATCAGGGACGTGCCCACTAAAGCTTTGGCACATTTATGATTGCTGCTGATCAAAATCATTCAATTTCTTATTTATTTATTTCTATATTTTTATATCATATTCTTGGGAATAAATTATATATCCTATTTGATGGGACTTTTTACAATTTTAAGTGTTTTAAATGTACAGGAAAATCATATTTGGCACAAGATTATGCAATTACATGTGCATTTATAAAAATAAATAAATAAGTTTAATTCGGAATGCTTATTTTGTATTATGAATATATCGTGGAATTTATATCAACATATATATGGATTTTTAAAAAATATGCTTATGGAGATTCGATAATGAGGAGGTGAAAGGGGTTTCCGTGATTGACTTTTCTCCACCAACCTGGTCCGCATTGCGTGCTTTTACAATTCTTAATAAACGAATAATAAAGTTCTTCGTACGGTAGCGAATCCTCCATTATTTAGGGTGACGTCATCCCGTCTTTATAGTAGCGACAAAAAATCCACCAACACAGGAGAACGGGACCAGCCGCCGGTCAACGTCGGCTGCTCTTCCGGTCAGAACTTCGGATGACAGTCAACCGGGGAGAGAGAGAGAGGGTTTTTGTTCGCCTCTCCCAGTATGAGTAGACAGGCGGCTTTTCTCACGTGTACGGAATGTCTGAAAGAGCTTGCGTGTCAACCCTTCTTACTTGCTTATAATTTAATAAAATTAGTATTTACTAAAATAAATATTTTGAGCCAAAAATAGTAACATCATTTTATTATTAAACGTATATATTTTATATTAATATTAAAGTTTCCATTTATTTTTTAAAAACCCATGGAAGATCATGGATAATAATTTTTACCATATTTTATAAAGGGGATAAATAAAAATAAAATTTGCATGCCACTTTATTTATCACCCCCGAAATAGTTTTCTGCATGAGAAACATTCAGATATCGCATGGACTTCCCACGTGCGTCTGACCGTGACCATTCCTACTTAGCCGAAGACTCTCGTAAGATCTCGGCGGTAAGTACACCGCACTCCTATCGTCTTCTTCCCTTTTGGCCCCCTCCAAAAACCCCTCCGATCAAACTACTCTGTTGTAGTTCGTCGGCATCTCCAGCGGAGCTCGCGGGGAAGAGGCTCCGGCGAAAGTCTCCTCTCCGCCCCTGATCTTCCACGCCCTGCTCTCTGCGGAGCTCATCTTCCTCAGTGGAGCCACCGACGCCTGGTTCTGGCGCTGGAAGGAATCTAAAGAGAGAGAGAGAGAGAGAGAGAGAGAGCTCTTACTTTGATTGTTGCTTGTTGGGGTTTCTGCTGGCCGAGTTCAGAGTGTTCGATCCGGTGCGGGGGGAATTGTTTCAGGGATGATTCCGCTCCAGTCGGGGTTCCTGAGATCCTACGGGAGGACATTGCCGGGCGCGCTGGTCGCTCCGCAGTTCGCGAGATGCAGATCGAGCAGGAGGAGGCGGACGCAGGGGGCGGCTCCGAGTGTTGTGGCGGTGATCGGGAACGATGAGAAGAGCGTGGGGACGGTTCCGTCTCGGCAGACGGTGGGCTCCAGGAGGCAGCCGGAGCTGGCGTCGCCTCCACGGCAGACGATTGAGGTGAGGGCGGTGGTCACTATAAGGAAGAAGATGAAGAAGAATATCAACGAGAGGGTGGTGGAGCACTGGGACTCCTTCGTCCACGGAATTGGCCGGGGGATCCTGATCCAGCTCGTCAGTGAGGAAGTCGATCCCGGTAAGCTCTGCTCTCCATCTACTCTTTTCTTTTCAATCTGCTGTCGCCATCTCGTCGAACCCCCCCATAGACGCTGCAACTTCTCTTGTTCTTGGGTTTCTGCGAGTCCAGACCTCGGAGACTACAGATTGAGCTAGCAATCACGAATTCGATTCTCCATCCGAATCTCGTGATCTAACAGAGTGTCGATTCTGCTTCAGCCACTGGATCGGGGAAGAAGAGCACGGAGACCGCAGTGGGGGGCTGGTTGCCGAGGCCATCTGAGAAGCCGTACTTCATCGAATACACCGCCGATTTCTCTCTGCCGGCTGATTTTGGCCGCCCGGGGGCCATCCTTGTCGGCAATGTCCACTTCAAGGAGGTGTTCTTGACAGACATCGTCGTCCACGGCTTCAGCGATGGCCCCATCTTCTTCCCTGCGCACACATGGATTCAACCCCAGACACTCGATCCCAACAGGAGAATCATCTTCAGCAATCAGGTCAGAATCATTAATCTTCCCTACCTGGCGGTGAATCGTGGTTCCCTCAGTTATCAATCAGTATGAAGCGCCTGCGAACCAAAATTATCAGCTGGATCGGCCGATCAAAGCTACTGAAACTTCTCACCCTGAGGCCGCCGATCCTGCCAGCCACGACGTCCAGTGTCTCTTATTTTCCATATCTGATGCAGAGATCGCTTATCCCCTGTGCGGCATTGCAGGCATACTTGCCCTCTCAGACGCCGGACGGCCTCAAGGATCTCCGGCAGGACGACCTGGTCAGCCTCCGTGGAAATGGGAAGGGCGAGAGGAAGAAGCACGAGCGTGTCTACGACTACGCGCTGTACAATGACCTGGGCAACCCTGACAAGAACGAGGATCTCACCAGGCCGGTGCTGGGGGGCAAGGAGCGGCCCTACCCTCGGCGGTGCCGCACAGGCCGGCCACCCATGAAGTCCGGTAAACACCCTCTGCTCCTACTTTCCTCTGAATGTAATCCTATACTAAGTCGATCAGCATAATTCCAAACTTCCTCCTGTTTTATTTATTCTCAATTAAATCCAATACTAAATCGGTCAGCGTAATCCCAATTTTCGTCTTATTTTCCTCTGAATTAAAGCCAATACTAAATCGATTAGCGTAATTCCAAAGTTCATCCTATTTTCCTCTGAATTAAATCCAAATGCTAATACAGATCAGCGTAATTCCGATTTTCCTCTTATTTTCCTCTGAATTAAACCAATACTTAAATTGATCATTGTAATTCCGATTTTCCTCTTATTTTCCTCTGAATTAAACCAATGCTAAATTGATCATTGTAATTCCGATTTTCCTCTTATTTTCCTCTGAATTAAACCACTCCTAAATTGATCATTGTAATTCCGATTTTCCTCTTATTTTCCTCTGCATTAAATCCACAACTAGATTGATCAGCGTAATTCCAGTTTCCTTCGGGATCATCCGGTACTAAATTGATCAACGTAATTCCCATTTTCCTCCTGTTTTTCTCTGAATCAACCAGTCCTAAATCCATCAGGCTAATTCCAATTTTCGTTCTATCTTTCTCTGAATCTACTCGTTTTCCATGCATACTCCATAATTGAGGGCATGGAAATATATAATTGTGATCTGATCTGTCGTGATCAGATTACAAAATATACAATTTCAATGGATCTGCTAGTTGGATTCAATGATATGCTATTCATTGCCATATTTAAGATATATTTTCATTGCTTGTTTCGCTGGACTCATCCTGTGTGTTCTTCCTCCCATAATGGGGGAATAGATCCTTTGTATGAGAGCAGGGTGGAAAAGCCGAACCCAGTCTATGTCCCCCGGGATGAGACCTTTGAGGAGATGAAGGAGGCGACATTTTCAGCCGGGAAGATCAAAGCCTTGTTGCATAACCTGATTCCACTCATGACGTCTGTTCTTTCGAGAACAGACAACCACTTCGGCTGCTTCTCCGAGATCGACGATCTGTACAAGGTTGGGGTCAGCTTGAATCCCCCGGAGGATCAGTCTACCCGCAAGGGAAGGCTCTCGGGGTTCCTCAAGAACATCATGAACATGCAAGAACCCCTGAAGTACGATCTACCTTCGATAATTTCAAGTAGGTGCCAGACCCAGATTTTATTTTTGAACCGTGGAATCATCTCCTTCGAGAAATGATAACCTTGTTGCTGGAATATTCTAACTTTATGAATGCATGCTTCAGGGGATAGGTTTTGCTGGCTGAGGGACAGCGAATTCGCCCGCCAGACAGTGGCCGGGGTGAGCCCAGTGAACATCCAGAGATTGAGGGTATGCCATGATCTATAACTTGGTTGAAATAAATGTATCCATAATGTTATATAATCCTTAATTTCTAGAAAATAATTATCAATTATTACTTTTCACATTCCTCAGGGGTTCCCGATTCTGAGCAAGCTGGATCCCGATGTATATGGCCCACCCGAGTCTGCAATAACTAGGGAGATCGTAGAGAATGAGCTGGATGGCATGACTGTTGACCAGGTACGATGAGCACCAACCTCCGGCTGTTCTTCTTGTTAGATTTTTCCTGCGTTTCTTTTATCTTCCATGATAGTTCTAGCTCCATGTTTAGAGGGTAACAGGCTAGCCACCAACCGGTTTAGGCAAACTATACTGTTAGTTTTCCTTGTTTATTTTAGGTCCCTCTAAAGCCCTTGGATTTAAGTTCAGTGTCCCTATGTATAATATAGATAATGCTTATGTCCCTCCTCTGGTATCCCAGCTCTTTGATATTTCGGCCTTTTCTTGATGGTTCTGCAAGCTTTCTCACTGGTTTTTCATGCTTATTTTTCGCTCCTCTATATCTCTCCAATAAAATTTAATAATCGCCCCTGTGTGTTGGGAGATAATGCTTATGCCCTTGTTACATGTTAGCCATCTGGCAAAGCAGAGTGTTAGTCTCTAAGATTATGGTCAGAGAACGGATGAGGGCCCAAACCCAATTCAAGATGCTCAGGGGGAGCTAAAACTAAAAAGCCCTTCTCAATACTCTTCCAGGCAATCGAAGAGAAGAGGCTGTTCATCCTCGACTACCATGACATTCTGCTGCCTTTCATCAAGAGGATGAACGCGTTGAAAGACAGGAAGGCCTACGCGTCCAGGACGATCCTCTTCAACACCTCCGCCGGTATTCTTAAGCCGATAGTCATTGAGCTCAGCCTGCCGCCGACTCCCTCCTCCCCTCGGCGTAAGAAGGTCTACACCCACGGGCATGATGCCACGAAGCAGTGGATTTGGAGGCTGGCCAAGGCCCATGTTTGCTCGAACGACGCCGGGGTCCATCAGCTCGTCAATCACTGGTAAACATCACTGAAACCATGAAGAACCAACCATCTACATTTGTATGCATAGGCAGGGAATTTTGTCAACTATTCAAATGATCAGATTTTGCCATCCCTCTTCATATGTTTCTTGGGTGTTTGGATTGGTAAACATTACGGAAACCATGAAGAACCAACCATCTACAATTGCATGCACAGGCATGGAATTTCGTTAGCTGTTCGAATGACCAGATTTTTTTATCCTTACTCATATATTTCTTGGGTGTTTGGATTGGTAAACATTACTGAAACCATGAGGAACCAACCATCTACATTTGCATGCACAGGCAGGGAATTTTGTCAACTCTTCAAATTATCAGATTTTCTATCCGTATTCATATATGTTTTGGGTTCTTGGATTGGTAAACATTACTGAACCATGTAGAACCAACCATCTACATTTGCATGCATAGGCAGGGAGTTTTGTCAACTATTCAAATGATCAGATTTTTCTATCTCGGCATTTATTTATTTGGGTGTTTGGATTTGAGAGGAAGAGGGTGGGTTCATGTGATTGTGCAGGCTGAAGACTCACGCTTGCATGGAGCCGTACATAATCGCGGCCCACAGGCAGCTGAGCGGGATGCACCCTGTCTTCAAGCTCCTCCACCCCCACATGCGGTACACCATGGAAATCAATGCCCTGGCTCGCCAGAGCCTGATCAATGGCGGCGGGATCATCGAGGCTGGCTTCAGCCCTGGGAAGTACGCCATGGAGATCAGCTCGGCAGCTTACAAGAGCCACTGGCGCTTCGACATGGAGGCCCTCCCTGCCGATCTTCTCCGGAGGTGAGCGAGCTCATCCCATAATCTCTCCCTACTTCTGAATTTGCCATACAATCTCCTCCATATAATCTTCTTGGGCATGCCTGGGTTTCATGGGCACGCAGTCTTTCGCCATCATCATCATCATCATCATCATCATCATCATCTTCCTCTTTCTTCTGCTCGACTGTAAAAAAATCACAAACCCTAACCAGACCCAGCTTTCGCCCTGTTTTTTTTTTTTCCTGTTTCTATCATCAGGGGGATGGCGGAGGAGGACCCCTCGGAGCCCTGCGGCGTCAAGCTCGTCATCGAGGACTACCCCTACGCCGCCGACGCCCTCCTCGTCTGGTCCGCCATCGAAGACTGGGTCAGGGACTACGTCTCCCTCTTCTACCCCTCCGACGCCGTCGTCTCCGGCGACGGCGAGCTCCAGTCCTGGTGGCACGAGGTCAAGACCAAGGGCCACCCAGACAAGCTCCACGAGCCCTGGTGGCCGCCGCTCGCCACCGCAGAGGACCTCGTGAAGATCCTCGCCACCATCATCTGGACCGCCTCCGGCCAGCACGCCGCGGTCAACTTCGGGCAGTACCCCTTCGGCGGGTACATGCCCAACCGGCCGGCGCTGATGAAGAAGCTCATCCCCGAGGAGGGCACGCCGGAGTACGAGAGGTTCCTGCAGGATCCGCAGGCGGAGTTCCTCTCCTCGCTGCCGACGCAGCTGCAGGCGACACAGATAATGGCGGTGCAGGACACGCTCTCCACGCACTCGCCCGACGAGGAGTATCTGGGGGAGCTGTCGGAGGGCGGCGGCGGGAGCTGGGTGGCGGCCGGCGGCGAGGTGGCAGCAGCGTTCGAGCGGTTCTCGGCCAGGTTGGAGGAGGCGGAGGAGGTAATCAAGAGGAGGAACAAGGACCCGGGGCTGAAGAACAGGACGGGGGCTGGAGTGCCGCCCTATGAGCTGCTGCTCCGGTCCTCCGGCCCCGGGGCCACCGGCCGGGGGATTCCCAACAGCATCTCCATCTGATCACACCCCCGCCGCCACCGCCACCGCCACCGCCATCGCCGCCGCCGCCGCTGCTGCCTGGGTAATGAACCAAAGGAACCTTTCATTCGTTTTTTGTATTTATTTGTAAGCAGGGGGTGGGGGATGGTTTCTATTATTTTGTGAATATTTTGGTGGGTAGATTATCGGTGGAAGATTAGGGTTTTTTATGAGTTGACGCTCATCATCATTTTTCTTCTCCACGGGTTTCTGCAATGACCTGAAAGTCAGTATCTTATTCTTTTTTTCCTAACCTACTTGAGTATCTAAAGAAGATAAGGAAACCGATTTTCTTCCTTTCGGTGATGGAGAGGATGGCTTATATTATTTTGTGAATATTTTGGTGGGTAGAAGATAAGATTAGGGTTTCCTATGAGTTGACTTCTCATCATCATTATTCTTCTCCTTTGAAAACTAGACATCCAATTCTTTTGTACTGAATCAGCCATAATGAGTATCCTAAGAAAAGGGAATCGATTTTCTTTTGTTTCGGGCTGAGGAGGATGGTTTCTATTATTTTGTGGATATTTTGGTGGGTTAAATATAAGATTAGGGTTTCCTTTGAGTTCACTGTTAATCGTCACTATTCTTCCCCTTGAAAAATTATACATGTAGTCAACAACTTAAAGTGAACTCTTGGAGCAAATGAATATAAGTTAAATAATAATAAATATTTATAAGATCATTCAAAAGATCAGATTATATCTAATTTTTAATATACTTGATATATAATTAAATATAACATTATCTAGAAATAATTTAAAATAATAATATCATAAATCTAAATGTGAATTCATTGAGTATATTTGTGACCCATAATATTAAATGTAATTACTTAATATACTTCACTATGTAAATTTATTATTATAGAAAGTATATATAGGGAAAAAGTAATTATTAGGGCATTAAAATCAATGAGAATTCATAAAGTAAAATATGAGTATGAAAAGTAAATCACTTTACTATGTACCTATGATGTTATATTACTACTTTCAATTGTTTTTATAATAGAATAATTTATTGAACTTAGGTTTTTACTATAGAAAATTTAAATATTGATAAAAAAAATAGAAAATAAATTTTTATATTTTTAATCGCTAAGATATTAATTATTAACATTGAGATCTTGATTTGAGGTGTCCAATTGACGATTTTATTTTATTTGGACAATTTTTGATAACTAAATCGTCATTTTATTTGGATACAAATTATTGAACTTGACCGAACTGATATGTATTAGATGAAGGTTTTGTGTTTTAACAAAATTATACATTAATTTCTCATGAGGATATCCAAATCTTTAAAAGACATGCACTTTTGTGAAACTAAATATTAGTTTCTCATGAGGATATCTGAATCTTTAGAAGAACCATAGTAATTTTTCATTCGCTCAATTTTTTAAATATTTTTATAAAAACATAGATACCAATAAATCACAGAAAATAAACTATATATTGTAATTATTTTCTCTATGAACACAATAACTACCCAATAACTAGCTGGTCCTAAATGGTCACCTCATTAGCTTTGTTCAACTTTTATGTAGAAAATTCTAAGAAAAATCATAAGATATTTCTTACAGTCAAAGATCACAAAGTCAATGATTTGAGAAATTATTTCAAGATATTTCTTAATAAAATAAAAACATCAATGTCTTCTATCTTTTGTCAAAATCCAAATAAAAAGAGGAACACAAGAATCAATGCTATATCTTATTCTTCTTCATTGAAATTTTGGATAAACCTCAAGGTAACACAATCTTCTACAAACAATTCATAGTGAAAAATTTTATATTCTTTGTGAGATGAATTTGTGAAGAAATCTTAGTTTAATCACTTATTAATTGACATATTAATCATTAGTTAGCCATCTGAAAATGTAAACTTAGAAGATAATTTCAAAATATTTTTTTTTGGAGGATGAACCTATTAATCAATAATTGTGACTGGTATATTCAACTGAGTGGAATCGAAGAATAAGGTTGTTCTTAGTAAGTAGATGTAAATAAGAGATTGAACCACATAAAAAACCATTGACTTAAATTTATGGATCTAAAAAATCATATGATGAGGACATGAAGAAAAAGGTTTAATATTTCAATAAATAAGTTAACCAAAGACAAGGTTAGATTTTGACTGATTTAACTCCCTCTTTCTGATCAAAGCGTGATCTTAAATCTAATAGTAATGTTATATGCTTTTGTATTGAACTAAGTTGAGTGTATCCATAAAGACAATAAGGAACCAATATTTCGTTTTTGGGGGTCAGCGAAGAGGATTTCTATTATTTTGCAAATATTTTGTTTGGTAGATTGTGGGTGGGAAATAAAGTTTTATATGAGTTAAGTATTCATCATCATTATTCTTCTCCTTAGAAAACTATATCTATCATCAATGACTTAAAAGTCAATTATGGAAGGATTAAATAGATATAATTTTTTGATGATAATAAATAGTTATATGATCAATCAGAGCATCAAATTATTTTTGATTTTTAATATGTTTGATATATAATTAAATACTATATTATTTAAAAGTAATCTTAAAAAATAATCTCATATGTCCAAATATGAATTTATTGAATGTGTTTGTGATCCATAACATTGAATTTGACTGTTTGATTGGTTTCACTATGTATACTACCTTTGAAATTGTTAATATTTAGATAATTTGCACAATGAAAAAGTAATAATTAATATTTTCAGATTGATAAGAACTAGTGAAGTGAAATATGAGTATGAAAGTTTACTAAGTTGATTATATACATATGCTATTACATCATTACTTCTATTGATTTTGATAACAAAATAATCAACTAAACTCAAATTATTCATTCTACCACATAAGATTTTAAGTATTAGTGCATATTGATCATTAAATATGTTTTAGAAAATAATGTTAAATATTTTAAATCACAAAAATATGCTTATAAATAAGTTGTCTAATTGATGATTGTACTTTGTTTGAGGTAATTTGGACAAATTTTTCTTACTAAATCACCATTTTATTGGAAAGAGACTTATGTATTTTATTTTAATAATATCAAATATTTACTAGACTTGACTGAATAATATGCTTCAGAATAGATGTTGTGCTTTTAATGAACCTATATATTAGTATTTCATGGGTATATCCGAATCCTTAAAAAACATTATTATTTTTCCCAATGTTTGAATTTATAACTATTTTTTATAAAAATATAGGCATTAAGAGATCACAAAAATTAAAAATATTTTTTAATTTGATTTCTCTATACATGCTGTGACTCTCCAACAACTAATTGGTCATAAATGGTCAGCTATAACTCCCCTACAACGTCAAGTAATTTGTTAAATTTTTCTATTAAAAAAATCTGAGAAGAATTATGAAGTCCTTATAGGTCAAACATCACAAAGTGAATGAGTTGAGTAACTCTTTTCAAGCGATCAAAGATCTTACTCAACTAAATTAAAATGATGATGTCTTCTACCATTTTCTAGCATCCAAATGAGGAGAGGAATGCAACAATCAAGGCTTCATCGTATTTATATTTTATCAAATTTTTGAGTAAGCCTCAAGTCAATGCTATTTTTTCAAAAGATCCCACAGTGAAATATTCCATATTCTTTGTTATGATTAAATATCAATTTAAGCACTCAAAGGAGTTGACCTTTAATCAATTTTTCACCACCTAAAATTCTGAATCTAAAAGAAAACTTTGAAATACTTTTTTTGGGAAAACTAAGCACATTAATCAACAGTTGTGATTGGTATATTCAATCGAGTGAAACCCATAAATAAGGTCGTTCCTAATAAGTTAATGTTAGCAAAGCACCAAACCACTAAAAGTTATTCTTTCTTAAGTCTCTTATCAATAGATCTAGGAAAAATCAAAGTTTTAATATTCTGTTCAAAGTTGATCAAAGTCAAGATTATAAGTCAATTGATTCAATACCTTTTTTTTTTAATCTAAGTATGATCCTAAATCCAACATCAACATCCTATTCTTTTGTATTAAACAAACCTGAGTGAATCCCTAAAAAAATAGGGAACTGATTTCTCTTTTTTTGGGGTTGGAGACTACCAAAAAATGAACATGAAGATGCATATTTCACATGGAGGAGTGTGCATCTTTATCTTGGGTGTATCCCTCCCCACAAAGGTCTCCCCACTCTTTTTTCAGGGGCAGAGTAAGGTTCGTTACGGTCAGCAAATCAGCCCCGCATTGTATTGATAGCGATTCAGATCACCTCCCCAACCTGCCCAACCTAATTGTTTAAGCTAGTTTCTGTCATTTTGTGAATATTTTGGTGGGGTAGATTTTGGGTGGAAGATTATATTAGTGTTTCCTAGAAGTTGACTTCTCATGATCATTATTCTTCTCCTCATAAAACTAGACATGTTTCTACAACCAACAATTGGAAGTCAACGTCCAGTTTTTGGTGTTGAACCACCCAAGAAGAATTGGACGTTTCCTAGACAAAATGGTGTTGACTGTAAACTAAAAATCTAAATGTTCAGTCTTGAAGGTGATAAATTGCCTCTTGTACTAAACCAATCTGATTGAGTACCTAAAGAAGAAAGGGAGCCAATTTTTCGGTTTTTGGTATTGGGGAGGATGGCTTCTGTTATTTTTTGAGCATTCTGGTGGATAGAAAATAAGATTTGGGTTCCCTGTGAGTTGACTGCTCATCATCAGTAATTTTTTCCCGTGGAAAATTAGACAAGTTTCTACAGGCAACGGTTAAAAATCAACACTTCACGAGAAATGTTGGAAATTAGGAAAAAAGAATAAATAATCACATATCATGAGATCTTCGTGTTGTTTTTTCAGCAAGCATTTTAATTTTTTGGCTTGCAATACAATGGGCTTCCTCATAGCAAACTAGAGATAATGGTTCACTCACTCATGTCATAGTAAGATATTCACAAATGCATCGGAAAAATCCTTTGAGAATGTTACCTACATGCCCTAAGGTAAAGTCAGAAAGCAAATTGTGTTCAAAGAGTGCTTCAAGTTTTTAAAGTCTGATTTTCGTGTATGGTAATGCAAGTTCAAGATCTTCTTCGTCCTCTAGAATGTACCCCTGAAAATGTCCCTTTTAGCTTCTACAAACTCTCTAAAAGTAGGTAGAGTCCCTGACAAGGCCTTGCATGGTGTTGACAAAAAGTTAATCTTCTCCAGAAAATTGTGCCCAGAAAGTGGCGATTTATCATCTTCAAGGCTAAAAATTTAGATTTTTAGTTTCCAGTCAACACCAAATTGTTTAAGTACAACGAATATACGATGGGCAGCCGCCCCAAAATGATCGGCCTAATAATGTATCAAATCATAGAAAGCAAATTTCTATGAGAATTCTATTTATTTTACCACGAATTTAATTTTTTCTATAAAAAAGGTATTTTTTAAACTAGGTCCTGATCAGAGAATTAAGATAGTTGACCATCTTCTGAGGTGCATTGAAAATATAGGAAATGGAATTTTTCTGTTACATATCCTGGAAAACTTACGAACAAAATTGCTATCGATTATAATAAGAAAATGTTCACTGCTTCACCAAGTACTATGATAAATCGGGATACTTGCAGGAGCCAGAGATAGAAAATTAGGACAATGGCACTACAACAGTCAAAAGGGAAAGCAGAAGGTTACCCATGTCCTGTTTCATAGCTCTCGAAGGAGATTCAGATTAGAATATATTCAAGATGGAGCGGAGCCACTTCGGTTGGTACCTGTCCAGAAGCCCAGCTGCGCAATTGTGTTCAGAGCAGAACGAAGGTTTCTCCCAACATAGCTCTGGCTTTCTTTGCCATTTAGAGGAATATATTATCTCTCACATGTACTTGTGGGGCACCGAGTCAAAATCATCAAAGTCGAATCTCGGGCGTTCTCGCCCAACCTGGTGGCATTTATGGTGGATTCCATTACAAAACTGGTTGAAAAGAGAAGGTGTCTTTGTCATAGATCCTCACCTTCGTCACGTAGGCAGGATCACAAGAAATCTGCTCGTCGATTGCTGTGAGCTTCCTCGACAAGGCCATTATCCTGAGTTAATCATGAATACCCCCATGGGGTCTTCTTAGTCTTGAGATGGAGATGATAGCTACATTGTCATGACTCACTAATCTAGTCCACAATAGCATAGTTGGGTCTGGGAATGAGCTATAGAAATGATGAAATTACCTCTGAATTGATGAATCGATACGCTCAATCATCTCACAAGATTTATACTGCTCTGGGTCCTCGTGAAAACTGACCATTCCGTCTTTCTGGTTTATGGTAGCGAATATCTCACCATCTTGAATCTGGAGATAGAAAAAGCAATTACAGGATCGAATCCACCACCCACTTTTAGAGAAAACTGATAGTCTGATTCCAGATGAGCGAGGCTACCATCCGAAGAACATGCATCTCTGCTTCCTTGGACGTCTGAAGCTGCACAGCGTTGGCTATGTCTTGGAGCGATAGAGTCAAGTACATCTGCGTCAGTCTTTGGATGTTGCGTTTATATAGGGATGACAGCACCTGCTTCACCAGCCCCATGTTGTTGTCCTGAAGGAATGCATTGATACTTCAGACATGTCCTTAAAAATGTACATAAGAGTTAGGATGGTCATTATTTTTACGTGTTCCTTTGCCTAATCCAATATTTCAAACTATGTAACAGATCATCAGACAACTGAAGCCTAGGAGAACCATTATCGTGAATAATTGCCAGATTAGCGCATCATACCTATTTTTACTACAAAATATGTTGCAACGAAAGCTAAAACCACAAAAAAGAAACTATATATATCCTCACGCTGTGAAACTTGTCCATATTAGATTGGATGCAAGCCTCCAATTCAGAAATTTTCCCACTTGAATAGCTAATTGCCAAATCGAGATACGGCTGCAAGGAAGAAAACAGAAGGAACGCCATATAGTTAGCTGCTGGATCACAGAATACTCTTGAATACGGCTCTAGTAGCATACTTCATTGTCCACGCACATCCTCAGACAAGTACAAATGCTGGCGAAGTAAGAAGCAGTAAGAAAGAGAGAGAAGAACGAAGACACAATGAGGAAAAGACTAGACACTACGCTATCTCGAAACATTCTGAAAAGTTTCAGATCTTATCCAGGTGTAAGCATATAAGCCATAAAAGAAACAGTGGCAGGAGCAGTCAGCAGCCCATACAAGTAATTGAGCGTCACTTAAGATCTCATGATTGTACTCTCAGTGGTACTATAAAGCCAAAGTAGCGCTACGTGATGGTATAGCTATCGTCTCCTCAAAACTAGCAAATGAATATTTGACAAGTACACCTATGTTCTATCATTCCCGCCCGTTCAGTTTCATAACTATCACCTTTGGACTCCAACGGCATCATATCATGTTCTCTTTTGTCAGTTATCCATATCACAAATCTCTGATATTGTACTTAGGATACTCAAACCTGATTTCAATCAGAATTGACACTAGCTAATCAGTTTTTTCTCTTCATTTTGGAGAGATTGGCCAATTTGCTAGTTAATCTGACCCAATCTCACCAAGTTTGGCTGGATTCTAGCAGTAGTGCTTCTATTGAAGAGAGTATGAAAGAAAGGGTCAGCAGAGCAAAGAAACGAAAGGAAACGATAAAGAAAGGGAGAAAACAACCCTACAGAGTTTCAGCCAAAAGCCATATCACCACGGACAATTATTGCTGGCCACTGCAGCAGTGTTTTTTAATAGAGCTAATTTCACGGAGAAAGTTTTTCAATAATATCCACTTGAAGTGCTTTGACATGCTTTGCCAGGTTCTTTCTCCTACCCCCCAGCAGTTCCTTGTTTGATGCTGGGAAGAGGACAAACACTACCTGGAAAGGGGGGGTGGAGGTACTTTAAGGTGGATGCTTGCCAAAACTCTTAATCAAAAATAATTATTGCTATACGCAGATATTACACTATCTCAGTGTATGGAACCTTGCTTAGTTGAAATATTTAAATTCAACGACACAAAATTCACAAAAAATAACCAAATTCACAGGTATCTGTAACAAGCGTCAGAAACATGCCTGAGTATGAATTTTTAGATTCTTCTGAGCAGCTGAGGACGTATATTTTGGAAATTGAGGAACCTGTCAAAGAACCTTCAAGATTACTAACAGTGTAGGTCTCCAAGGCTTTCCATAGTGCGTTTAATTGACACAATAACCATTTCCATGATGAGTAAGTTCAAATTATGAGCCCAATAAAGACTACAGCATAATGATCAACAGTGATAACTTGTGATCGCATAAGATTGATTGAAATAGAAAAGTCAAGAGACAAAAAATCAACTTAGAGGTCATTCATTAATTGATAACAGTTATATGGTTCAAATAAATGAGTTGAATAAAAAATGAAAGAAAGCAACTCCCCATATATAAAGAGATTACTGAAGAAACTCATAAAGAGGAAGCAGCACTTCGGAGATATTTAGACGTTCAAAACTCCAATGTCCTCAAATAAGAGATTAGATTATTTGCAATAGTAATATCAACAATGATTAATATCCTTCACTAAAGAAATTACCAATATCCTTCTGTCCAAAATGGACAAAAAGATGGCAAAACTGGTTATTTGGAGAAGTCCTCGCATCAGCAACAATCCTTTCTCAAAATTGCCCCAATGTTCAGAAGCTCCAGCAACCCAATTAACTTATTAATGCTAAATTTCATAAAAAGTAACTGTAGTCACCCACGGGTGCAACTAGAATCTGCGGAGGTGTACAAAGGATTTGATGACTGTGGCAGAGGATATGTATTTTAGTGGATTAATGCATTTTCATGGTGGGATCAGAAGAGAATAAACTTTTGAAACCTCATGCTCTTACTGGGGACGGGAGTGACGAGAGGTGATGAAAACAAGGAGGATAAGAAAGTGGCGCAAAATCATAAAGATGAGGAAGACATGGAGAAAAGGAAGGAAGGGGAAAAAAGGACGAGGAGAAATAGGAGGATAAGGTGCCAGAAGCCAGGCAATCAATCAGTCATATCTGAAGGAAATAACGTGGAGGGAAAAAGTGCGTGAAAAAGGAGAGGAAGACGACAACAAAAGGCAGTTTTCTTTTCATTAACTTTTTCTCCTTTTTTATCTTTCTGTACTATTTATTCAGAGCAATAAGTTCAACCATAATCAACTAATTTGAGGATCAAATCCAAACTACTCTGAGTTAGGATCAGCATAGGCCAACCTTGCCACCAATATAACTTAGAATGCCACAAATGAAACTAAGAATTTCAACGAGAAACAACTGCAATCCAAAAGACTGAACTTTGGCATCACAAGGTTTATTTAGGTTTCCAATTACGTAGGATTTCAGTCTTCCAAAGGATCTCGATAATAAGCTTTTTGTAATTTTTATGCTACCAGATATTTTATTAGACGAACCATAAATTTAGTTTCAGATTAAATTAAACAAATCATGATATAGTTGAAACCAACAATTGTGGTAAGAAAAGGATGTTTATGGTGTCAATTAAATATGATAGACAAGTTTTTATACACAATTTAACGATCTCCAGACAAACTAATGGAAGGAATGTAGGTGAGATTATTCTTCCTCACGAATTGGCTTGTTTTCGGTTTACACATTTGCTTGGAGTTGCAATTATTATTTTTTTTGCAAATTAGTGGCAGGATACAAAGACAAAATGATGGAGATCATGCTGTTGGCAACGGAAGAAACAATGCGATGTCCCAGTCCTATCTTTTGGTCATCTGTTACACCAGTTTCTCATAAAAATTATTCATATGATCCAAGAATTCACCAAGGATAATTCACCAAGGGGTAATTAACTTGGCAGTTTTTGCAAAAGAATGCTGATAGTGAACTTGAGTTAAGCATAGAAACAGAAACCAGTGGAGCATCAGAAAATTCAAAATTAGAAACGGTTAAAAACAGACAAAAAGGCTACACAAACCTGCCCATTTTGAATAAGAGAAACCAAGATGTACTTCTTGTATGCTTCAATCGCAATCGCATTCAAATTTGTCATTGGTGCAGTAACAACCTGACAAAATTTCATAACATCAGTGTTCAGTGTTGTGCCATGATGAATAAATTGGAACTCTATATTTCTTACACACATTATGAAGGAATTCCAATGCCTTGCGAAAATGCTTTAATCCTATATTGATCATTCCCCTGTTACAAATCAAACTGGTATCAGTACTAGTGATTTATTACGATTCTTGTGAATCTACAACAATCCTGAGATGACATTGCTAACAAAATAGTCATTTGGTACACATGCAAAAAAGTAAAAAGATAGAAATCACTGAATAATTAAACGAGCATTTAAAAGAAAAGACGGAAAATACTCAAAGCACAGAACTGGGACACTGCGACAATAGAACCACTGAGCATTGCAAAAAAATATATGAACCATATGAGGATCTTAGAGAACAACTCCAGTCAACTTTCTTTACCTCAATACCTATGTTCAGGAGGTTGAACTTATCAGCAGAGAGGGAAGTTTACCAAATTTTAAGATGAACTGCAAGAGTGGTTTAGGATTTTCAAGAACGACAAAGGACACTACGATTTTCGGAGGCGAACATGTTTATTGCTCATTTTCAGATATATTGATACATAGACATACACATATAGTAGCATACATTTAAGTGTTGCCAAAAGCAATAAAAGTCATTTTCCGATGAACTGCTCTTGATCCCTGTTTCATTGTTCACATAGAATTCTATGTCTCTGCACCTTAGATTTTTTCAAGGTGATCAAGGTGATGCTCTGCAGGCTTGCTACATAGGCCGCAAGATAAGTGTTAAGATGATTTCCTCAAATCTATGTATCATTTCGAATAAAAGCATATGGATAAATATTTAATAAATCATTTATATATAATAAAATACCGATTAATACTACCATCATAAGAATTAAAAAATTATACTTTCTTATATGTTTGGTTATTCACTAAACGGTTACATTCATTTTTAATTAAAATTATATTAAAATAGTTCATCTATAGCCTTCTGGATGTATGTCAGCGATATGAGACGGGTGCAAAGGAGCATGCATTTTGGTCAACGAATAACATTCACACGCATTTATTCAGGCATTCTCAAGTTCGCATTTGCCCAAGCATGGCCATTCACAGAGATTCTCGACCAGGTGGGATGGGTGCTTTGTCTTCCCCATCTTGTCACCTAAGGTGATGCTATGAAAACTCTACCTCAGACATTCCACAGACATTATATCTGTTCTTCAATGGGATTGTCCTATCTTTGAACTCTCTCTTCTTTTAGATGCCTATAGGTGTTAAACCTAAGACAAACTTCTTCTTGGGAACTCCAGATTCCATGTCTTTCAGAGATAGTGACCAAGTATATGATGCTCTACACAAATCCAACTTGTATGATCGAACTATTTTGTCTAGCACCAATGCAAGCCCACAAGGAATTTTTCAGTACTATTTTCCATAACAAAATAAGTAAACACATTGATCTTTAATCTTGAAGAGAGTCAACGTTATTCCCTGCACGTTGGACGAATTGGACAGCCTTCAAAGTTCCTTCTAGAGAACATTCCGAGAACTATAGTAAGATGAAACCCAAGGCCAGGTGTCTGCCTCTTACCCATAACCACCAGAACTTCCCTGGGAACCTTTCTCTTAAATATATCAAAACAAGGACGCTGTAGATCAGACATATGGCTCAGCAGGCTCATGGAAGCTACCTCGAGGAATGAGGTCGCATATCATTTGCCTAAGGAAGTCAACAACCAACAGTAAGTGTCATTTGGCATACATTACGTGGTTTCCATGTTCAGGTCTCCATAATAAACGATTGCAAATCGGATTCTAACTTTCACAGGAAAGTGAAAAATGGTGATTATATGTCTGGGAAAAAAGGACATGAAAAGTAAGAAACATAGTGATTCCTATAAAAGCCTGGACTAAGTGTTGAATGATGGATTGTCTTCACCCGAAAAATTTGCCAGGAAATAAACGCATATGATAGTGTGAGAATGCTAGTTCCATGTTTTCATAGGGGAATTTATAAATGTGACAGCCAGTCAGGTATTTCAAAATGGAACGAAATTTAGCTACAACGGTTGTTCTCAAAACTTGAGTGATGAAAATTAGAACAACTGTTGTACTTCAAAATGCAGTCATTTTAGCTTTCTCAGAGTAGATTAACTAAAGTAGGAATACTGGAGTGCTTACCCATAATAACAGTACAGCAACAATTCCTTAGGTTGATCAACCTCATATATATCGTCATCAAGTATGCTCAGGCCAGCTTTATAGCACTTTGATAGCAGACAGAGAACAAGAAAATCTGAATGTAATGCAGTCAATTGCTCAGAGGATAATTGGAGTTTACGAACAGCCGTTCTTAGAGGAACTACTCCCTGAATTGGTGTTTTTAGATCCATCAGTTGGTCCTTGAATCTCTTACAAACAGATATAACTGCAAATAAGTGTCAGTGCAATTCACCATAGTTAGCATGCATCGACAGTTAGTTCTGAAGGGAGGACAAGTGACAAATAAAAGAAAGATCAAAGTACTCTTCCATACATTTCTCAGGGGCTAATCGTATCTGCTCTGGTGAACATTCATTGATAAATCCAATGACAAATGGAAGAAATTCATTAGCCTGCTCCCTTGAAATAGAAGTAGAGTATGCCTCCCTGCAAACGCACGAGCAAGAAACATTGTCACAAACGTCACGTTTTGGCAGCAAAAATAGATCAAAACTCATAGAACATTTAGAAAGGGATAAGAAGATAGGCTAATCAATTGGAGACCGCAATCCTTCGATATCGAAAACCAAACGATCAAAGAATTAGAGCAACTACGGTGCCAGAAAACGCTAAGCACGATCAATACGAAACCCTTACAGGATGTAGAGGTAACCCAGAGAATGCTTCGAAGCGTCGAGTTGCCCCAGAAAAGAAGACAACCGAGCTGCCTGCGACTGGAGAGACGCCTCCGCCTGTTTCAGCAGGGAATGGAGGTGAGAAACCTCCTCGACACTCCCCGAAAGCGCCTGGATGTGTGCTACCAGAGCCTCCAACGAGTCCATCACAGAGCGAGCGCAAGCGGAAGAGCGAGAGAGAGGGAGAGAGAGAAAGAGAGAGAGCTGCGATAATTTTCGTATAGAGAAATGGGGAGGGAGCATGGGGAGCAATTGGGGCAGAAGGCCTCGGGCCCAATGGGCATTATACTTGTTCCGGCCCAATATTATTTACCTCACTTATGGGCTTGATTATGGGCCCACTAAAGAAGCTTAGTAAAAGGCGACCGCTCCATCTTCATCTGGCAAGACGAATAGTCAACCCCCCCGCTCAAACCTATGGGAACACAAAGAAAAGGTCAAATGGTAACGTTAGCTTTGTGACGTGTCATTTGGTGCAGTAGAAGAGTCCACAGGATATCAAAATTATTCCAGAAGATTCCATAATATTTGATTTTATTATGATTATTGAACCCAAAAGGATAAAAAGTAGGCTAATAAAAAAAGAAATTCCTTAATAATGTACACAAAATCTCTCAAAGAGATAAAAATATATATATTTGGACCATTTTTTGAAATTCTGGCCTCCGATTCGGGCTTTTTTAATATATATATATATATATGTATTATTTTTTTAAAAATAAGATCATAGTGAAAAAAAAGCAAAACAATTTCCGCCCTACAAATTATTTGAATATTACCCTCAAAGTCATCTAGAGAGAGAGAGAGAGAGAGCGGGGAGGATGCAAATGGATAAGAGGGGTGATTGATCGTTAAAAAATATTTTATGGATTAAAAGATAAATACACTCTGAAGATTAGAAAAATTCAGGTGCGCCATCGTTTGAGTGTGTGGGGGGGGGGGGGGTTGGGGAGGCCCACACTTTTTAATGGGCCTGAGGAGAGGCCCAATCCGAAAGGCATGCGAGCCCCGTCACCTTCCTCCCCACTGCAGAGAAAGCTGTGGGGACAGCCGCTCGTGAGCTGGTCGTCTCTCATCTCGAGGAGACGAGTAGCGCTTTGCCAGCAGCAGAGATAGAGAGGGAGGTCCAACTGGCTGCTGATCTTCACAGCTGGCCCTTCTGTCAGGGCGGAGAGGGGGGGGAGGGGCGGCTGAACCCTCAAAATAGTAAAGAAATCGCCGACTTCCCATCTTGTTTGAAGCGCCGTGCATGGCCGTCGATGGAGGAAGGAAATGAGGGGGAGGAAGTCTCCCCCATGGCTACGCGATGTGGAAGGAATGTGGTCGTTCTTCTCTTTTCTTTTATTCTCTCTCTCTATCTCTCTCTCTCTCCCACTTCCCCTTCCTGGTTTGGTGGGTACAGCTTCGCAGCTGTCTGTTAGAATACAAAGCTCCCACCCCCCTTCTCTCTTTCTCTCTCTCTCACCTCGAGCCTGTTCCTCCTCCTTTTCCTCATTCCCTCGGGGGGAGAGGGGGGGGACAAAACTAGTAGCAATTTGCAGTAACAGACAATACCAGGCGATTGCTTTACAGCCCACGAGGGAAATATTCGGCCCCCCTTCCCCACCCACCTAACCTCGCCTGGTAGAATTCACCACCCTGTGGAGCATCTCCCAGGGAGGGCGCCATTGCCCATCTTTCTTTGGGGTCTCCGTATCTGGGTTCTTTCCTCCTGCGGCATCTCCTTCATCTTAAATGGACTTCTCTTGGGCTTCTGGAGGTGAGGGAGAGGAAGAGGAGGGGCGTGTCGGCGGAGCGTCTCTGCCTGTCGCAGTTGTCGGGATTTGGGGGATGATTAACATGACCCGCCATTAAAATATTCGAAAGCTTTCAAGTACAGCAGGATGCTCTCAGGGAATCAACTCTCCGGCTGGGTGGCCAGCGACAGGGGGCCCTGCTTCAAAGTCTCCTCTCTCCTTCACGAACAGTTTCTCCTCTCAAAGAACCGAGGAGGATATCATCAGAATCCGTCTGTTGGGACTCTCTCCTGATCTTCTCCCTTCATGAGGAAGAGCTCTCGCAGCCTGAGAAATCCCCACAATATGGTGAGGAAATTCGCGTGTAGATCTCTTCAGAAGGTGATCTAACTCGCGCGACCGGCGAATGAGGTGGGGATTTCCTTCTCTTCTCCCCGGGTCTTTGCAGCTGAAGAGATTGCAGGTACTCTACACTCAGGCTCTCTCTCTCTCTCTCTCTCTTCTTCCAGCTGACATGAATCATACAAGCAGTCGAATGATGCTGTAGCTGAGAGATGAGAATCTTATTAAGGAATTCTGATGATTTCAAAGAGAGAAATGATGGGATTCAACTGACTGAACCGGCATATCTCCTCCTGATGAAAAGCCTCAATCTTCACGATTTACTTGCTCTTTAGTTTCTTCCTCACTTCTGTCCTTTTGATGGCTGATGTTAATGCATCTTAGAGTCAATGTACCACAAGACCCGGTCTTCGATCGCCATCCTTCTGGGTTGACTTGGCTCCTCTCCCAGATGTCAATGACTCTTGCGGCAGTGCTTGGCGGCGCTGCGGGGGCGGTGGCACTGGTCGGAGCAGTGACGATTGCTTGTGTTCTATGGAGAATGCACCATAGGAGAGCTTCGAGAGCCTCTGAGCCCAACTCCTCTGACCCATCTCTGCAAGGTGAGAAGTCAACATCGAGATTACCCAGGAGAATGATCATATTTATGAGTGGAAAAAACGTTTTCTTGATCTTATAAATATCTAATCGATGTGGGGCTTCCAGTGAGTCAGAGCATTCGGCCTTCTTTGAGGGGATGTTCATCCTATTCCTTCGATGCCCAAGGAGCAAGATGCTTCACGCTGGAGGAATTGGGTCAGGCGGCAAACTATTTCAACGCTCTGAACTTCATCGGAGCTGGGAAATTCGGAGATGTGTACAAGGGTCTGCTCAACGATATGATCGTGGCGATCAAAAGGCGACCAGCTGCCCCCAGTCAGGAGTTCATTCAAGAGGTAATCAGCCATGCCCATCAAGCAGTATACAGTCATGAACCCAAATCAGGGGGTGAATTCCATGTCGGTACTTCTCTCGAAAGATTCAGGCATGGTTAATGTGGCTTTTGGGTATGATTTGCCGTCATCATCTCATATGAAATCATAGATGGAGCAGAAATATGAGGAATCCTCTGTTCATGATTCAGGTGGAATACCTTTCATCTATTAGGCATCGGAACCTGGTGAGCTTGCTGGGTTACTGTCAAGACAGCGGCTTGCAGATGCTTGTGTATGAGTACGTCCCAAATGGAAGCATCTCCGCTCATTTATATGGCAAGTTCTGTCTTAGTTTGACCTCGTTCTACCCTCTCACCCTGGACTAGTTGACTTAGATTGAGCATTGTATTTTTTGCTCCTTTCCTTTTTAGGTGCAAGTCAAACACCCAGTGAGAAGCTGGAATTCAAGCACAGGCTTTCCATTGCGCATGGGGCAGCTAAAGGTGACGATTAAAGACGTTTCCATGCTTCCTTTTTTCACCATGGTTAGATGAAGTTTTTATTAAAAAATGATATTTAAGCTGGGCTTGTTCTTGCTGGAGTCCCTGAGATACTTGTACTTATCAAGAGTATTTTAAAAAAAAATTCTTAAAACGTACCGTTGACTGCTGATCTAAAGCTTCATATGAGTTATCTGAATCATGGGTTTGACCGATCCAGAGGATTTGTCTCTGTTCTGGGCAGATTAGGGATGAAGAATTCTGGAAATAGTCTTATTCATCTTGTGTTCTACAGGTCTGGCCTTTCTGCACTCACTCAGCCCACCCTTACTGCACACGGATTTCAAGACCGCTAATCTCCTGGTGGACGAGAACTTTGCGCCCAAGGTTGCAGATGCTGGCTTGAGGAATTTCCTCAGTAAAATCGGCGGCAATGGCCAGAAGATGACCGCAGACGATCTTTTCCTGGATCCTGGGTACTCGTATATCCTTCCAAAGCTCATAAAGCTGATTATTATAAAATAAAATAAACTAAAATCTGGATAACATTTTCCTGCCATCACTGATCGAATATTTTTTTATTATCTGTAGAGAGAGAATTATGGATACATAAAATGAATATATATTGTTTTCAATTTTGTGGGCAGGATTAGAGAACTCCAAGAATTTTCACACAGAAAAAGCCCTTGCAGAACTCTTAAAACTGATTTTTTATATAAAAATAAGCATTCAAATAAGATCCTTTTCATGCAATAAATCATAAAAAAACATTTTATTACAATCACAGTGGGCATCTTTTTTTTTTTTATCGGTCTATCTAATTATGGGCGTATATTTTTGAATTGATGTGGGCAGGATTAATGAAGTCCAAGAACTCACAGAGAAAAGTGACGTCTACAGCTTTGGAGTGTTCCTCCTGGAGTTGGTGAGTGGGCAGGCGGCTGCAGAGTTCCAATTCATTGGACCCCATGAAAGCATCATCAAATGGGTAAACAAACCCCCTCGTTGGAGAGGATCGTTCTCTGAGATTCAATCATTTCCATTACTGTTGCTAAGTTAATCTATTTTTGTGCTATGCATGTGAACGTAAAGATATAAACTAAGGAAGGTGATACCCTGCCGATGACTTCTGTTTCCTCAGGCACAAAGCTACCATGACTTGAAGGACATCTCAGACCTCGTTGATGCAAAAATCGAAGGCCGATTCACCACCGAGGGAGTGAGAGAGTTCCTCCGGCTCGCCGCCAGGTGCCTGAGCCCGCCGCCCGGCTTCGGGCGGCCGCCGATGAGTGTGGTGGTGGCGGAGCTCGACCGGATCCTCGAGAAAGAGAGGAGCTTGACGACATTCATGGGTGAAGCCACCCCGAGTGTGACCCTCGGAAGCGAGCTGTTCACATCCTAGAGAGAAGACCACGAGCCGCTAGCTATCCATGGAAGAGTTCAGATGGCGGCGGCCAGCTGACAGGCAAGTGTATAAAAGAACCAGCTGGCACCTAATGTTTCATGCATTATCCTTCTTCAGTGAACAAATCAAGGAAAATAGGCGTGCGCCTGCAGCCCACCAAATTTTTCATAACCCAATTTGGGTGTCAAAAACTATGACACCAAGTCTCACTGTATCTTCTCGGACAAAAGGGTAAAAGAGAGATTTCACATCTCTAATTACTTCCTTTTCAATGGTTGGGGCGGCCCTGGGGCCTGCAACGGGTTAAGGTCATCTCCTATGTACACTTTTAGGACAGATCAGATAGATGAGTTGGTGCGCCACAACTTAGAGAGAGGGCCTGAAAGATATACGGCCAAGAGAGAGAGAGAGAGAAGAGGGGGGGGGGAGGTGTTAACGGCTGATGTGACAGTCAGATCAGATGTCAGGGGTTGGAGCCAGGGAGGTATATGCGGTGGATGTGTTGGAGAGAGAGCTTCATTCGGCAGGCTGGGCACTTCTTCTGAGAGAGGACGGCGGTGGTGATGCAGGGCCGGCAGAAGACATGGCCGCAGATGGTTGAGGTCTCCTCCTTCATGGTGTCCATGCAGATGGCGCATCTCAGCTTCACCTCCTCTCCGTAAGGGGCGGCACAGCAGCTGCCTGGCTTTGGCTTGAGTTTCTGCCACACACAACAACAGGAAGGTGTGAAAAGAGAAGCTATGGCCCTTCGTAGAGGCAGCAGTAGCTGAGTGAAGAAGCTTGGGTTGATCTGTAAAAATGGAAACCTATCAGTTGCTGCTCGAGCAGTGGGGATTGCGTTTGAAGCAACCAGAGGCCCTGATGGTGAGCTTTGGCGTGTTCAAGTTTGGCCCCTTCTACATGATCACATTATTTATTTTATTTTTTGTGTCCACTGTAGGAGTGTTCTAAGAGAGGAAGGGCACCCTGCTCCTCCAAGTTGCTAGACATAAATCGGCAAGAATATCTGAATACCTTGCATCAATAACGAATTTGACCATCAGATTACAAAGTCTGGCATGAATTTCTTCTCCGGGGTCGGTTTTTTCACTTATCGGAGAACAGGTGTGCATAGGAAAATGTGGCAGTGGGGTAGAGTATAAGGGATTTAATGCGACCACTTTTTAACCGGGCTCAGTACTAGGATACTTAGGCATGAAATAGCCAATAAATAAGTAAATGGGGTGTAATGTGAAGGCAAGAACTGATCCTGAATCTTTATATTCGATTGTCTGGACACAAACCTGTTTTCCATATTTTGACATTTCCCCTTCTAAAAAGGATGCACTCAGTTGAAACCATTTGCAGGAGATAGATGAGTATACCTTGCCATATTTTCCAGCATATGGATCTCTAGTCCTTTCAGATATCTTGGTTCCACCATTTGACTCTTGAGGGTACCGCAAGTAAGCTGCTGAAAATAATAATAATACAGAAATGTCATTCTAGTCTTTCATAAAAAAATTCAGGAAAGAACGAAAATCTGTTCACAAATCTGTGCGGCTAAATCTAAAATAATGAAAAAATAAAAATTCAGGAAGAGGGTACTTTTCTGGTCGTCTAAGCCTTCTTTTTTCAGGAAGTCCATATGAAAATATCGTAGGATATAAAGAAAAATATAGCACCCATAAGTAATGAAAAATTTCTGGCGCAGTTATTCTCTTTTAGATTTATCATTTATGCATGGTTTAATGATTTCATAATAACATGGTACAAACTTTTGATATCAGGGATGCCATTTTATACATCTCAGCGAATCGGTACATGTAGATCTTTAGCATAATTCAACGCCATTCGTTTTCTTCATACAAATAAGAGGTCGATGTCAAGTTGGCAGGAAAGGATAAACTTCAATGGGAAAATGTGAAATCTTCATACTCAAAATCTTAGTCCATCATTAGCGATGAGATTTGGAATTGTCATGATGATTATAGAAACTTAATTTTTTTTCATAATGCGTTTTAAAAAAACTGCAAATACAGGTTTAAATTTCAATACCTAGAATGTTTCTCTGGAAAAAGACAGATGCTTGTGCCCCCAGCAATCAAACCATATGGCAATTGGTTAGATAAGGACTAGAGAAAACGGTGAATAGCAATAGTACTTTCAAGCTAATGTCCAGTTACTATGTTCGAAAGGTTATTGGGGAAATGAAGATACAAACCATCAACTCTCAAAACCCTAGGTGGCTAATATCATAACAATTACAGTATAAACATCTTCTGATTCACTCACTATAAAGCTTCAGGCACTCCAACGTAAAATTCAATAAATTTTTCAGATAGGAAGCCCTTGCTAAAAAGCTGTGTTATCATAATTTTTGCGGCTCCCCACTGAAGCTAGATTAAGAAATGAGTGCAATAAATGAGTGCATGAATCTACCATTATCAAATATGAAACCATAGACCTTTATTTAAAATCCAACTTTAAACATTATAAAAAAATAATTGAACGGACGTTTATCACTTTACCCATAAAGATGCAGAAGAGAAATTGTTAGTTTCTTTTTCATAAAGAAATGCTTTCAAGGAGAAAGTACCAGACGGAGATGTTTGATGAATCAGACATATGCATAATACAACCAAGAGGCAATGCAAAAAACATTACTGAAATTTAAGAATGTACATTGCAAGGATAAATAGGAATATCTCAGCATGGAACAAGATTAAAAGGAAGTAATGGCTATATCATTTCACCTCCAAGCCCAAGCCGAAGTTCCAAGTCCTGCTCTGAAAGTTCAGGCGCCCATGAGCTTGAATAATGAAGGAGATTTCTTGTCTGTATAAAATATGAGATGCAATATATATTCGATTTAAAATTAGAAGTCATGAAGATAGGCATAAGATAAGACACCAGAGAAAAATATGCCATCAGAGTTCACCGGCCCAGAAAGCTCTGAAGAGTATATCTGCCTATCCTCCTCTTCAGCGTGATCATCATCATCGTCAAGTATTATGATATTGGGAGGATAACTCCTAAATAAATTGTTCGTCAGCGTCCCTCCTTTTGACATGAATGACGGTGCCAGTCTGAGCTCAAGATCTTCGGTTCTATCCAAAATCCACCTCGTTCTGCTCATGATCTGCGAAACTACGACACCCAGTTAAACGGATCCCGTTCATTACGAATGTAACACCGAGGACAACCATCAAAGCTCTGGGAAACATCCAGGTATCAGAGGAAAAATTCCTAATTACAAGATGTGTCGCGTCAGGACATCTCAAATCGAGGAAATGAAAGAACGAAAAAGAAACACCGAATCACTGCGAATGGGACAAGTCCATACATTAAGAAATAAAAGGAACAAAAAAACCAAACAGATAGCCCATATTCAAAGACTCCCAAGGAGACAGAAAGGCGTCCAACAAAACCAACCCTCTATGTATGTCAGATCGACGCCCTCATAGAGGCTGAAACTCAAAAGCGGGAGACAAAACAAAGAGGCAAGAACAAGACCGCGACAAGACAGAGAGACATCATCATGGACGGCGGGGCATGAGAGAATAGCAGGCACGAAGGTGGAGTTTCTACCTCCGAAGAAGAAGATTTCCACTTTCAAAGAGAGGAAGCCAACAAGATTTCTGCCCCAGAAGCACCGATCGAGGACGCCCGCTTCCTCAGATCGGAGGGGCGAGCGAAGGGGGGGAGGGGGAAGAGGCGCCGGGCGGTGATGAGGAGGACGACGGGCGGGAATATAATAGTGGCGGCGTCGGGCTAAATAAAATAGCGACAAGGTGGTCCGGTCGAACTGGGCCGGTTCGGCCCTTCTGGCCCCAGACAGAAGACGACGCATCTGGTCCACAGCATCCGCCACGCGGCGCACGCATTGGAACGGGCCCCCAACACACTTTCTCCAAAGAATTGAACCGGGTTTATTCCACCGGCCCACGAAACGCTTAGCATTCGATGTGATAAAAATCATCCTTGCCGTGGATTAATTCACACTGAATATGACTTTCGTTTACGAAACTACTCATTATAAAAGTATTGTTTTTATAAATTACTCTATAACCATTTTTGAATAAGAGAGGTTTGTTGCTTCTCTAAGCCTAATTTTTTTTCAGAATATAAAATTATTTTCAATTTTTCATTTTTAATAAGTTAATGCATGATTTTTGGATAAAATGTCAACTTGGTGGTGGACGTTGACCTTTATGTTGATGCTTGTCCTAATACCCATTTTTCAGAAAAATAAGCTTAGACAGATTGAGTCAACCTAATGGTTTATAGCTGCCAATCATAGGTTGTTGATAACTAATCAATATGGGCTGATAACTTGAACATACTAAAAAACTATAATGTCTAAGGTGCCCCTAGGTGTAGACTACTTTGCCAAAGATCCGCAATCATGACACAAAGTTGACCAAAGGGAGTCAATGGATTCATGGTGCTAGGAACCCATCGGTGCGATACTTCACAAGGTGTAATACTTTAAAAAGGAAATATAAGTCAATGGAATTTACGATGATTTTATGGTTTTTTAATCTTGTGAACAATTGTTGACATTCCTTTATAGTAAAAAAGATGAAACAAGATTCATGTTCTACAAATCAAGTCTCTCTCTCTCTCTCTCTCTCTCTCTGAGTACGGTTGAAGCTCAAGCACTTTCAACATTCTACAATTTTGAATGTTGTAATGAATCCTAGAATGCATTTGAAATATTTATTTCTAAATTTGTTACATGGGTTTTCAAGGTGTTAGTTTTATTTTTTTTCCATGAAGTAAATAAGAATGAGTAGGTTATAATAATTTAACATAAATTTCAAAATCAAATTACATTACAGAGTTAATTGCATGTGATAAAAGGCTTTCATAGATGATAATTGCATGTGCTCAATGAAACATGAATTAATCAAAGGCTCAACCTTGCTAGATAATTGTACTATACTTACTTTCACCCATTCTTTATCCTCTACTCTACTCTCATTTTCCATTTGAGTCATTTGTGGTACATGAATATGAGAAAAAATATGCAAATATTTTACTAATCAAAACTCATTCATTTCAGTTCCAAAGATCAAATTCTTAGACTCTATAAATAGCCCGTGTCATGAGCTTTTAAGTAGCACATTCACACTACATCATTTTGGTCAATTCATGATCTAAACCACATCTATCTTTCTAGCTATTTTTTAGAGCAAATGATAATATAACCAAGCTTCCACAAGCCTCCAAATCTCTCACTTGGTAAAAAATGTCAATTCTTCCTGCTATGAGGATCATCTATGAGTTAATTATTTCACACCCGTGTACATGAAAAAAATCAAGAAAGACAAGGTATATGCAGATAAGGTAGGACAACCATTTAAGGTATACTCTTTACTATTATAGGAGGTCGAGACATTTATTTTCATCATTTTTGGATTAAACTAACTCATTGAAGGCAACCAACCTAGGATTCATTTAAAGAAAAATAGAACACCGAAATAGCAACAAAGAGTAAGGAACGAATAGTATGCAATAAAAATATATCAATTGAGTTATGTAATCATTTTGTTTAATAATATTTGATGTGGAAATAATAGTTGATTTTGGATAATCAAAATTAAGCATGTAACTAGATCATTCAAAATATGTGTTACTATTATTATCAATAACCTTTATTATTCTAAATTATAAAAAAATTTTAAACACAACTTTTGAAAGTCAATCTATGGAATTGTCATCAAACTTTCACATGTTGAGAAGTTGTATTCAACATGGTGTTTTCATTATCGTGTATGACGAATATCCCCCCTTCTCAAACATAATAGATAAAGTTTCTTTTATTTATTATAAAAACAAGTAATTATCACTAATGGCAATAGATCCATCAAGGTTGAACATTTGAAACAATTCTCCTATGCTTGAAAGTATTTGTTCAAATCTAGATGAAGTGATGAAGTTAATAATAATAAAATTGATAAATATTAATATCATCCAAGAATACAAAAATCTATCAAGAGTGAGCATAATAGAGCTTTAACTATCATAGAGATATTTTCGATTCTTTTAATTTTTTGCATGGACCCAATGGCCCAATCTGATCTAATTGAAACAAAAAGTAAAACCTAGGGCATCTCTTGGATTTTAATCTAGTCTACTCTAGTTCATTGAATAGGTTTCTTCAATTGAAGACATACATAAATATAGATGTGTGTGTGAAGAGAGGGAGAGAGAGAGAGAGAGAGAGAGAGAGGGAGAGAGAGAGAGAGCATACGGTGTGCACGAGTTGACCCTATGGAGGGTTATTTATCATTAGACAGATTAAAGAGGATAAAGACAATTATCCAATTTATAAGAATTATGTTTTGTATATAGATAGCCTATTTGTTAGCAACGGAGAGACAGACTCTTCTTCTAACAATAGAAATGGCAAGGATTATAAACCAGTATATGCCTTGGAAAGTTATATCAGTAAATTGTAAAAGAAAAAAGGTTATTTTAAAACTATGCATTTAAGAGGGTAAATTTGTAACAAAAGCGTTCCACGGCTACTTCGTCATTACCCTATCCATTCTCACCAGATCATACGATCTCAGGAGGATGGCAGTGGCGGTGGCGGCATCCCTCCTCGTCTTCCTCGGCGTCTTCCCTTTTCCTTGTCTGGTGGCTGGAGGAGCGCCGCCATCTTCTCCGGCGCCGGCCCCCTGGCCGCCTCAATTCCACGCCATCCTCTACGCCAACTACTCGGGGGCCCTTTCTATCATCGACCTCTGGTACGACTGGCCCAATGGCCGCAACTTCAACATAATCCAGAAGCAGCAGGGGGAGCTCCTCTACGACCTCGAATGGGACAATGGCACCTCCTTCTACTACAATCTCGACGCCTCCCGACGGTGCCGCACCATGCGCTTCCCCGTTGGCATCCTCCGCCCCAACTGGCTCGGCGGCGCTACCTACCTCGGCCAGGTCGCCGTCGACGGCTTCCTCTGCAATGTGTGGGAGAAGGCCGACTTCATCACCTACTACGAGGACGTTGCCACAAGGAGGCCCGTCCGTTGGGTGTTCTACACTGGTACGAACCCTAATTTGGTTTTTCGAATTCCCCGCACCCAATTCGTCTAGGAACGAAATCCTCCGATCTTCCTTCGGGTTTGCATGCACAATGGGATCGGGAAATCGTGAATTGCGACGGACAATTCTGATTTCTGCGTTCCTCAATCGCCGAAGTCGGGGATCTCCACGGAGTTCATCTCACCCCCCCCACCCTCTTCTGTTCTCTGCTCGCTCGGTCGCCATGTTCTTCTTCTCTCTCTACTTCTATTTCTGCAGGGCGGTCGATCCACGTGATGACGTTTGAGGAGGGGGCGGTGCTGGAGGACGAGAAATGGCAGGCTCCCGTCTACTGCTTCGACTCGGCAGCGGCTGCGGTGGCTTCTTCTGGTTGAGGACGATGCAAAATAATCAATCATCCTCCTCCTCCTCAGAGAGAGAGCACATCTCAACTCATTGGAATGGCCCGTCGCCCACTTCGACGATGCTGTAGCTTCGGACGTATGATTCTACCTCTCTCTCTTCCGTAACTCCTTTCACTTCCTCTCTCATCTATGTCTCCTGTAATTCCCATGACTTCCTCTCTCTTTTACTCTCTCTCTCTCTTCTGTCACTCCCATCTGTACCTCTCTCTCGCTCAGTCGCCCCTTTCTCCCTCTCGCTGCCAAGTAGTCGGTCTGGATGCTTCTCGTCCTGCCACGTATGCACTCTCGTATGAGTCAGATCGTCGTAGCAGTCCTATTCTGAGCTAAAAATGGGCTTTGGTCCGCTCTTATGCAGGCCGGCCCGTCCCCCTCACCTAGAGACAGAAAAACAATTTAAATTAAATATTTAAAGATATATATAGCGAGAGAGAGAGAGAGAGAGAGAGAGAGAGAGATTCTGAGCCCGAAGCCCATAAAAGCTCGAAGTTTGTCGTATGTAAATGGCGTAATCGCCGTGAATATTAAAAAACGAGCCGGGCTTTTATCGGCGCGAGGTACCATAGCAACCGGGCCAGGCCCGATGACGAACGAGGGACTGGGGCCTTGGAGCGTGGCGACGTGTCGCCATAACGACAGACAGTAATCGACGGCCGTGATGACGACATGTGCTTCGTACTTCTCCTTAGATTCCAATAGTGGCAGTTCCGAAAATAATATCCAAAACAAGGAGATTTTTATCAGCAACTAGGAACCCAATCCGCCAGAGAGAGAGGGAGAGAAGAGAGAGAAGAAGATAGCGAGAGAGAGAGAGAGAGAGAGAGAGTAGAACGCGGGAGGAAGAAGTTCTGTAATGGCGGCAGCTTGTAAGCTCTCACCGCTCTTCTCTCCAACTCCTCTCCCACAATCCCCCTCCTCCCGCCGTCTCTGCGGCAGCGGGCTACGGCGGCTTGGCTATGGCACGCGGCAGCGTCGTCGTCCTCAGAGCTCGGTATGTGCCTCTCTTCCGCCGGATGCCGTCGAGGCAATGGCTTCCTTGCCGGCTCCTCTCTTCTCCTTGGCGGCGGAGGGTGGGAGCGTGGGGTACTCGCTGGCGAGCTACTACACCTCGCTGGGGCTGTTCGTGATCTCCGTGCCTGGACTCTGGTCTCTCATCAAGCGATCCGTCAAATCCAAGGTTCTTCCACTCGGTCCCAATTTCTCTCTCTTGCGTGCTCGTCGATTCCGCGGGATTCTCCCTTCTTCCCAATCTTATTCATCGTTGATTCGTCCTGCGAAATCGGCGGGGAATTGGCGTGTCCGCAGGTGGTGCAGAAGACGTTCGAATTGGAAGGAGAGAGCCAGAAGTCTCCCAACCAGGTCGCCGGTGAGATCCTCTCCTTCTTCACTCGTAACAACTTCGCCATCACCGACCGTGGGGAGACCATCACGTAACTCTCTCTCTCTCTCTCCCTCCCTCCCTCCCTCCCTCCCGAGGCCCTGGATTATCAACAATTCTCTGATTTTTCCTTGGCATAACCTTCTCTCTCTCTCTCTCTGTCTCTCTCTCTCTGTGGTTATCCATCTCTACTCCAGACCTGGACTGTGTTTGCCACATTCAAAACCATTTCCTGATGACGAACCCCTCCCTCCCTCCCTCTCTCTCTCTCTCTCTCTCTCTCTCTCTCTCTCTCTCTCTCTCTCTCTCTCTCTCTCTTTCTCTCTGCGCTTTCCTTACCGCGGTATCTTCTCCATGTGAGAAGGTTCGAAGGGGTGATGGTGCCGAGCAGAGGGCAAGCGGCTCTCCTCACCTTTTGCACCTGCATCAGCCTCGCCAGCGTCGGCCTGGTTCTCTCCATCACCTTCCCCGAAGGAGGCAACAACTGGTTCTGGCTCACCCTCCTCAGCCCCTCCGCGTGAGCACTCCCGCCATTAAACCCCCCATCTTTCTCTCTCTCTCTTTCTCTCCTCTGTAAATCCGACCTTCTTCTTAATGATGATGATCCAGGGGGGCATACTACTGGAAGAGAGCTTCGAGGAAGGAGGAGATCAAAGTGAAGATGACACTGGCGGAGGACGGGAGCCTGTCGGAGATCGTCGTCCGGGGGGATGACCAACAGGTGGAGCAGATGAGGAAGGAGCTCCAGCTGAGCGAGAAAGGGATGATCTACGTCAAGGGCATCTTCGAGAGGTAACAATGGCGGCCCCATTTTTCCCATCTTTTAGCCGAATCTGCGGCAGAGAAGAGATCCTTCTGTACATCTCTTTCTTCCCCTCCCTTTCTTTTTTGGCCCATGGATCTGTTAAAAGAAATTCGAAGAGGAAGATCTTGATTGAGGCATCTGAGCAGCGCAGCCTTTCGTCAGGATCACGCTGAGCAAAGTCAATGAAGTCAACTCATTGAACAATTTACACGCACTTGGGATCTGAGCTCGATCAAAAGTCAAAACCCTTTCCAAGGCCCAGCTACTGCCCTTCTTCCTCGACTTAGCATTCCTTCACGAACCAGAAACCAAAAATGGAAAGAGATTTGCAGGCGATGTATCTCCAAGCTCCCTCCACCCCCTCCCAACCTGCATCCGAGAAGAGAGAAGTTCGTCAACCCGAGCACAAACCCAAAACCCTGTATTTAAATATTATATCCACAAATGGTAGCGAAATCGAGATTCCCACCTGACTGCATATGCATCATCCCCTAGATTCAGAAAGAGTTGACCTGGGCATTGCTGGGTATGATCTTGAGGAGCTCGATGTCGAAGAGGAGGGTCTTGTCGATCAGCCCTTGGTTCCTCAGAACAAAGTCCAAGGCCCTCTGACCCTGCCACAGGTCAACGGATAGCGTCAGGATTTCTGACAATACGAGCAGGGGTCAACCCACCCAAATTATTACCGAGAAGGTTGTCGGCCGGGGGCCAAGTCTGTTGAAGTCGTTGTCCGGATATCCCAACTCCGGGGGCACTATGATCCTGCATTGCTGTAAAGAAGAGAGTGAGACGGATGCCCTGAAATTATATGAAATAATTTCATCATCTTTCATAAAACAAAAATATGTTTTTGATAGAACAAAAAACCATGGGAAAATCTGTTTGATTAGAGAAAATTAGGGAAAGAGGAACTCCATGAAAGTCAATATAACTAAAATATGTTATTGATAGAACAAAAACCATGGGAGAATCTGTTTGATTAGAGCACATTAGGGTAACAGGACTCCATGAAAGTCAATATAATGAAAATATGTTTTTGATAGAACAAAAAACCATGGGAAAATCTGGTTGATTGGAGCACATTAGGCAAAGAGGAATCCATGAAAGTTAGCATAATGAAATTACGTTTTTGCTAGAACAAAAAACCATGGGAAAATCTGGTTGACTGGAACACATCAGGTGAAAAGGAATCCATGAGAGTTAGTATAATGAAATTATGTTTTTAATAGAACAAACCATAGGAAAATCTGTTTGATTGGAGCACATTAGGCAAAAACTAATGCATGAAAGTTAGTATATAATGAAAATATGTTTCTGATAGAACAAACCATAGGAAAATCTGTCTGATTGGAGCACATTAGGCAAATAGGAATCCATGAAAGTTAGATACAGCACCTTCTGACGCCACCTGGAGCCATACCCACGATGGCCTCTTCAAAGGCCGGTATGACCTGAAGAAGGTAAAATCAATAGATTAGCCAGATGTTTAATATATATTTAAGTGGTAGCATATGATTTGTCATTTATAGATTGGTGGGCGTTACCTCCTACTTTCAAAAGCAATGAGCTAACATTATTTTCTATAAAAAGGAACAAAAAAAATCTTCACCAAATACTTTGCAGAAAATAGAAAAGGAATATTGACAAATCTATTGATTCATATGTGGAGACTTATAAATGACTTGCCTCTTGCGAGCCAACCCTGAATTTGAAGAATTCTTTGTCGTCACCCTGCACATCAAGGTGAAGAATGCATCAATATTTCATATCTCATCGGCTATGGATACCCAAATTTTGCAGATATAATGACGAGGTTCTGAGGGAAAAAGAAGAAGAAAGAGACATTATGAATTCCAAGAAATTCTAAGATTGACATGTGGCCAAACCAAGAAGTTATTAATTTTATGGATCCAGTTAGGAAAGTCACAAATTATGGCTTTTTCCAAGAATTTTTAATCAAAGAAATGAATGTAATAATTAACGTAATAATGAACTTAAAATTCCATGTATAAGTACTGCACTATGTGACTCTGCTTCATTAGATTCTGTTTATAAATTACTAAATTCCGTGATAAATTAATATTTCCGCCAGGAATCACTTGTAAGCGTGGCCCTTTTATTTCCCTGTGATTTAGCTATATTCTCCATTCCCATCCTTTTGACTCAATTTCTATAAATACAAAGTTCAGCAAATACCTAGTCAACCAAGTCAACGAGCTTCAATCCGCACTATGAAAATTAGCGTACAGATATGCTGAACAATTAGAAAAAAACTAACAAAACTTATCAAAGATTCAGGAGGATGCACATTCGTCACATTTGAAAATAATACCAAAATCTGTACACTCTACTCATTAAAAAGGAAAAGGTTATGAATCTTACCTCAAATGAACCACCCTTTGTTTTATTTCGAGCCTCAAATATTCGACCATAGTATCCTATTGTATAACCATCCCAATCAACCTTGGAAACATAAAGGCTGTATTAGAGCTCTATGCCAGTCAACCACAATTCCAGAGTGATTCAATGATAGTTACGAGCAATTAATGAATCACAAAGAAATGTCAAAAGTAGACCGTTCTTTACTCACCACCACCATTTCTCCAATCTTAGCAGTGGGTCCTTCTCCTACACGCAAGTCCTGCAGTCCTTTCAACATTTCAACAGGAATCAGCCTCTCAGAATCCCCAGAATGTACAACTCAGAAGGAAAGATTACATGTGCGTCCGATAACCTTGTACTGAAGGCCTGATGGTGTTTCAGTGTAATCTGGATACCGCATTTTTGATTTTCCATAATCTTTTCCTCGTAGAGCAGGCACTGTTTCGATGATTTCAGTAAAGTTATTAAAGAGTCTTTCCCCTAAGGAATAATCAGAATTGAGAAAGGGAACTTCCTGTGGAATGCAATAAAAATGTCACATCGCCTCTGAAGTGGATCTAATTTTTCAGGGGGAGATACTATTTCTTCTTAATTTAAACAGGAAAATGCTAAATTATTGAAAACTTGCACATTTTCCAAGCATTCAAACAATTTTAGACTTGCAACTCACAAAAATGCCTCCGAAATAAAAAGATATAAGATTTCGAGGTTTCAAACTCACTGTCAGCAAATTCGGAGGCTACCGCTACCTCTTTCTTCACAACAACTGGAATCACCCCGGCGAGGAATCCCACAGTTGACTGCAGTAAGAGTTTCCTCCTTTCAAGGGTGCTTCCAACCGCAGCAATCCCACTGGTCTCTGCAAATCCGAAACAGCAAGGCTGATGAAGAAGGCCTAAAGTAATTAATTCATCAGTGTGCCCCTAATGTATGACTACCTAAAATACATGTGCACATCTCCTGTGAACCAGAGTTTCCAATTACTGATTTGAACGAAAGGATCATGCATTGGAAGGCCACTCCAATCCATATCGTCATTAGCCTTCTACGAAATGTTCTTGTCCAACATTACATAACTGAATTTTTTTCCCCAATTTGCTGGACACAGCATGATCTTCCCTGATGTTACTTTATGCATGGCATTCCGGAACATAGTGAGTGTTCTCGTAGACTAAGCGATAAAATTTCCTCACCAGTGGGCGTTAAGAGCGCATTATTTTCTAACATATTAATCTCTTCAGGAGAAAACTAACCGTTAAGCCTAATTAGGGAAGATTATCACGATGACAAACTCACCACAAGACTCGGAAGGTCTGCGTTGGTCGTGCGAATTTCCTTGCGTGATTTCAGGTTTTCCCCTCTGTGACGCACGAAATTTCCTCTCAGTTGAATAAAATATTGGAAAGACAAGAAATACTGGAAATTCCCCGAGGTAGATGAGAGACAGGAATCCACGCGCGCGCACGGACCTTCGAATGCACACAGGTCGCCTTCGAGAACAGATGACAAACGTTCGGGGGACCTCCCATCGCGGAGACTGCCGACGCCATCACTAGCACTCCTTCTCCCGCTGATTCTCCCAGTCCCCGGGACGAGGATCGGACGACGTGGTTGGCAGAGCAGTTGCCAGAGTGGAAGAAGAGATGCGGCGGAGAGGCCAATCCGCGCCAAGACGCCTTTGCCCACACAAAGGATCTTCCCGCATTCGGTCACCCAAGTTCCACGCCTACAGAGAGAGGTCTAAAAAAGTTACATGATTTTTTCTTTAAAGTCCCTACATCTATTATTAATGTTCAATAAGGTTCGTATAAACACAATTTGCACTTTAGTCCGCAGAAACAACTCCTGAAGACAGTTTTTATTCAATGCAAAATTATCTGCATACCCTCAAAGTAATTTATCTTTTTTCTTTATGGGTTTTGGAAGGAACTAAACCTATTTAGGCTTCCTTGTTATCTTACTCCTCACCTTTCCTTTCTATCTCTTGTTACCACTTATTAACTGGGCTCTCAATGCCCAACCATTTTTTCTCAATGAGATTGAACAAAAGAGGTAAACAATCTTCACATAAGTGATGCACAAGTTAGGAGAACAACTTGACTTCACTCATTTGAGGTCCTTCTAGATCTTTCTTAGCATATGACGGGTGCATTCGCACAATCACTTGTGCATGGCCTTATGTGTATGATAGTATGACTAAGTAGTCTTTTCTCTCCCCATTGTTAGAAGAATTCATGGAAGTGCAAAGAAGAGAGATTTGAGCGACATGGCTTATATTCCAATCTTAGGATATTAGGGCAAAGAAGGGAGGAAGGACAAGGAAGAGTCTGCCACACACAACTTCCACCTCAACTAGGCCAAGAAGTTTGTTCCCATAATTGGATGGGTCACCCTCTTCCTCAAAGAGAAGGATAGATCACCTCCTTCCTTGATTGCACTTGCCTTCTTTAGATAAGATTTGGTCATGTCCTATCTTTCTTATTTGAATTTTGTTCTATTTTTTTGGAGGGTAATTAGGGCATGCTAGCGAAGTGCTTGCTTCCACACTAGCCACTCGACACATCTACTATATGCCAATTATCTCATGGTAGTTATGTCCACCTCACATGCACACATGTAGATCACATGCCCACCCACATGTGAGCTTGTTCTATGTCCAAAGTACTCATGTACTGTGCATCCTTTGTGTGCAACAATTGCACATGTTACTTTGTACTGCTCTTGAATGGCTGTGAGACATGGAAGATGATGTAACTGTAGACTTATTTGTGTGACAATCTTGAATGGCTGGTCAAATGTGACACCAACCCTCATTGTCATTTGCTCCACTTAATATTCTTGGAGCTGGACAACTTAGTTGCGAATGCTAAATTTCACTTCTTATCAATGTTGGTCTGTATTATTATTCTATATATAATTTAAAAGGTCATATTTAAATTTACGAATAATTTAGTGTGTGTTTTTTAAGTAAATATATTTTTTGGGATTAAATAAATACTTTCATGAATGCAATTCAATTGTAGTATTTTTTAAAGTGTCTAAGTATATTAAGCATGAGAAGCTTGAGATGTCATGCATATTGCTTGCAAAAAGTTCTCATTTGTATTTGTCTTATCTACTTCAACTATTGTTGACCTACAATTTTTGCCATGATCCTATTCTTTGTCTTAAAGGGTCATGAAAGGCCTTAGAAGGTGGGGGCGAGGGAGGATTGGGAGGGAGAGGGGGCTAAGTAGGTCATTAAAGTTTCACAAGAATATGACAGAAATGGGAGATCAACAAAAAGAGAGCTTAACCTAGTGGTAGCAATATTGCCAAATTATGATAGTAATAGATTGTAAATGCTCAACTTATTCAAGTAAGTAGGCAATTGGAAAAGTGAAGAAAGCCAAAACACACATGTTGTTAGGCTCAACCAGGTTGCCATTTCAAGATCAGATGTAAGCAAGTTGATGAAATGTATCGACAAGAACATGTTGAATGTTGAAGACATAAAATCTTAAGGAAGTGCTCAAAAATCAAGAGATATATGCGGTGTGCATAAAATCTTTACAATGTTGGAAACTAACACTAGCTGATGGTATTTTCCAACTTGTGTTGCTTCCATTGAAGTGATTATGGTACTTAGTGGTGATGCAAGGTTGAATGTATCATACACTTCAATTTTAGAGAAAATGACCACCTTTACTAGCACAATATAATAAATATATGAAATTAAACTTCTCTTAATAAAAATGAAACTCATGAATGTTGATTCTTTCTTATATAGTTGACAATGAAGCATTCTTAGATACATAAAAGTACTGATTTTTTTGAAAAACATTTGCCAACACTCCCATAATATGTTTCAATAATTGTGCTTAGAATTCCATTAAATAATGCAAACTTTCATAGGTGAGATAGGAGGGCCCAATAAAGCCTTCATCTTTACTATAATTGTCATATTGTATGTTATATTAATTAATTTCTTATTATTTCATGACCATTTGTGTGATTCAAAATATTTATAAACATTTGAAACCTTCTTGGAACAAAAACATAATGAATTTTGAAATGGTCCTCAATGATTTTCAGATCCTTTTATTTGTTTGTGAGATCTCACATACTTTTAAGTTTCATAAAAATTAAGGTCCTAAGTCTAAAAATTCCAGCACTACAAACATTTCAAACTAAGGTGATTAGCAAGTAGTTGTTTGAGGGAAGCTCTCTCATGGAATTGACGTACTAGTTGATTATAAGGGTAAAACTTGCTTTTAAGTTCTTCAAGAATTATAGTTGGCTCATAGATGTTGGTATCAGAACACTTAAATATATGATGATAACAAATGGTAATATGATAATGTCTATATTATAAATTTATGGTATCTTCCAAGTGTAAATCATAATATGTTAAATAGATGGTTAAAATAGGAGAAATTTTTTTGAGGACAAAATAGTCTTTGTCCATGGTTTAGATGATTGAAATATTTTTTGAATGCAAGTGAAACATTTAGATTAACAATTTCTAACCTATAATTGATAAATAACCCATGATAGTAATAATCTTTTGTAAGATCCATGCTTGTGTAAACCTAGCTTGTGGGTTAATACTCTATGAATAATTCAAAGGATGTAGCATGATATATGGATATGGACAAAATATAAGGTTTTATTTTAGCCTTTTATGGCTTCTTATTGTCGACTAAATTTACATGATGATTAAATTGTGAACATTATGGAGTCATTGATGGTGTAGCTCAAAGGCAGTGGCTTTTGTGATAAATGAGAAAATGAAACCTACTTTAGATATATATCAAAAAGGTTTTAACTTCGATTTTTATATCTCATCTATTACCTAAAAGTATATCACTACTAGTGTTTAAACTATTCTATTGGACCTAAAGATATTAAACATTCTGAGGCAAAGCCCAATCTAAGGCTGGATAGATTGAGAAGATCTTAATATAACTTGGTGCAGGGAAAAGATGGGAGATGAAAGAATGGAGGGATCAGGTGAATAGTGCTTCATTTGTGACTTGGAAAGTGAACCATGGGTAACTCCAATCAAAACACTAATTTCTACATCAAGGTAAACTTGAGTTAATGTAAATAAATAATTATTTTATTAAGATTTGTTAAGGCTAAAGGAAATTTGAAGGAAAAAACTCGCCAAATATAATTTAACTCAATAGATACCATACTATATAGTTGGGTTAAAATCACACTGACTGTTTTAGATTAAACCAACAAATGAAAGCAATTAATTTGATGGATCACCTTCGAACGGTCTTAGAATCAAATGAAGGTTCTCATAATCTAACGTTGGACCCCACATTATTCAGAACTCGCTGAACATATAATGGATTTTTTTTGACTAAAACTGCTGCAATCATAGATAAAATGATCAAATCTTATGAAGAAGTAACAAGTTCGTTCCTGGGAACTTGAACATTATTTTTGTTCTGTATTGGACTTAGGTTTTTGACTAACATTATAAAAACCACTTGAGGTTGGGCGATTAGTTATGTGAAGGAATCTCAAGTGGGGAGTCGTGAAAAAAGTTATGTAATTGCTTACAAGGATTTATGCGTCTTAACGCAACGACTCGCCACCTAGAAAGAGCAGACGAAGGTAATTTGAAATGGTCAAAACTCATCTTCTTAGCCGATGTGCATAAAGGACATGCTGGATTGTGGGCTGTTCTATAGTGTAGCTTGATTAAAATATCTAATCCATCCATAAGTTATATGGACCTAGTTTGGCATGAAGAAATCACCCAGTTTATTAGAAAAACTGACAAAAATATATGTTGAGGAATGTTTTTGCTACTGCACGATCATTTCTTTAGCCAGCAATCCATTTCCAATTCCCCAGATCAACACAGCTCCATGAGTCACTCTCTCTCTCTCTCTCTCTCTCTCTCGCTCTTATGCCAATCGTATAGTGACCCGCCACCTTATTGAGCAGCACTTTCTTCATTCCAATCACTACCACAGTAAAACAGGAAGATCACGAGGATGATAAAAGATGTAGTGTCAAAAGAGTGCGTGGATGGATTTAAGGGCCAATTTATCCTTGTTTTTCATGTTTGGGCTCTTCTTTCTAACAGCAAAAAACTTCTACTAAAACTATCGTCCGTAGACTAAAAATAAAAAATAAAGCACCGTGTGTATGGTCTAGTTGTCTATTCCCTCATCTCTTGCCTCTAACTCTCGTGGGTGCATATTGCATTGTCTTTTGCTATGCAAGAAGGGGAACAAAGACGCTCGTTCCCAACATCGTTATCATACATTCACATACTTATTAAGAGAGATAGAGAGAAAGAGGCAAAGAGATAAGGGAACACACAAAATATACAAGGCTTGGAGAATCCTCGTGTCCATGGTCGTACAAATTCTTCTTCCTTCAAGAGCGAGAATCTTATTACTACTTAATACTCATCCCTCAGCATGACAATACACAATCATGTTACAGCTCTGACACATGATCACCAATAAAGCTTTATTTTCTTGAGAGGGCAGTTAGACCGTACACATGGTGCTTTGTTTTCTAGTTTTAGACTATGGAAGAT